AGTTTGGGGTGGGGGGGCACCCCCATTTCCCCCCGGAAACCCAACAAGGGGTTCGATTTTTTCGGTTTTTTGGGGCAAAGGGGGGCCCCCCCCCCCCCCCCCCGTTTGGGGTGTTTTTTTGAACCCCCAAAACCCGTGTTTGGTTTTTCCAAAAACCCCCTTTGCAACCCCTTTTTTTATTTTTTTTTTGGGTTTTTGGGGGGCCTCCCCCCCCCCCCCCCCCCCCCCCCCCCCCGGGTGTTCATGTGATCTCCCGCGTCCCCCAAGTGGAGCATGCCTCGCAAGCGTACAACCGAGCCGCCCTGTACATGAACGGGCCGGAGACCCCTCTCAACCCAACCAAGGAAGGGTACGTGCCCCCGCCTCTCACCGAACGGTCTGTGAGGGTGCCGAGGAACAAGTTGTTCGTGCAGCAGCTCCCCCTGCCGCTCATTGCGCAGGCGCAGGTATGTGGGCCGGGCGGAGGCCTCATCCATACAAATCCAACACCTGGTGCTTTCTTACAAAACGGAGATGCGACAGAGGGAGAAACAGTGCGCTTTGAATGTCAAAACGGAGGTCGACGTCTACTGCACCCACGTACCGTGTTGTGCCGCGTTTTGCGGTGGTGTTGGCGTATTCATCACCTTCAAGGGGCTCGCTTCGGGCTTGTTCTCCTCTTTGACGCCTTCTCGGAAGGCGTCGATGACGGTCTTGGTGTGGCTTCAGTCGGGAGCTTTTGGGGGGGTCGTTTTGTCGGGGGGCTAGACCAATGAGCCTACGCGCACACGTATTGCTTGGTCGAAGGTCGTGGTGCTGTCAAACGCCTCCCCCCCCCCCCATTCCGGTGTCATACCTGTACGTGGAGAACACCGGGGCACCACGGAATCATTGCACAACATCGGGCACCGCGGAATCATTGCACAGCAGTTTCTATCGAGAATTTTTCCTTACCTCTGTCCCTTGACCCTTGGTTCGTGCCTGGCAACTGCCGCCCTTCAGGTCGAAGGAGCCAACAACAGCGCGGAGTTCATCCGACGCAGGCAGCAGATGCGGGGCAAGTACCACTCCCCGCTGGTCGGCGACAACCACCAAGTGTCACGCTTGCCGCCGTTGCCGCCACCGTCGACGCCCCGGGCCAGCAGGATCCGGTCCGTTGCCTGTGCTGCTGCTGCTGCTGCTGCTGCACCTTCCTCGGCGGGGGAGGCCGCAATGTCGCCGCTTGGTGCGACCGTGGCCGCTGCTCCCGGCGGGCTTACAAGCGAAAGCAGGGTTAAGGGTAGTGGGACGGCTTGCGTTGACCTGCCGGAGGCACTGCGAGTGCAAGTGTCCTCGAAGTTGGTCATCTCGCAAGCGGTGGCCGCTCCTGCTGCTGCTGCTGCTGCCCTTCCCGCCGTTGTAGGAACTGTGACGTACTCCCCCGTTGCTTCTGCTGTTGCTTCGCAAGCTGTGGCTGGCAAAGGGAAGGGGCGTGCTACCGCGGCCGCGAACGACACAGTGGGGTGTCCGCCGGCAAGTAAGCCGCCACCGCCGACGGCGGTAGTAGCATCGTGCGCAGAAAGCCTTCCGGAAGCGGCAGCTGGTGCCGAGACTGCTTTCACGACCAACAGTGCTACTGTTCTGGCAGCTTCTTCATCGGCTGGCGTCGCTAAGCCTCCGGCTGCTGCTGAGGACGGCGTGTCCAAACCCCCGGCTGCGTGTGTTGCAGCTACGGCGTTGACCAGCCCACCGAGAGGGCTTACAAAGGCGGTCAATTCGACGGGCGACGGCACGGTGCTGGCCAATCGGGGGGAGATGATGATGCTTGACTGGGAAAGGCCATCGCGAAGCCAACTCGCGGACTCGATGGAGGTTGATAACCGTCCGGGCTTGGATGAGGCGGCGGCGAACACGGCGGTATCTGCGGCGACGCCACCTCCAGCAGACGTGTCCCGCATGAAAGCGGAAGATGGGAGCGTCGTCATCACGGCTGGCACCACCACCACCACCGTCAGCGAGGCATCCCTGAAGGCTCTATATCCGGCAGCGGCGGCGGCGGCGGCGGCGGTGGCGGCTGAGGCATCTCGTAGCCAGATCCCTGCCGGAGGTTGCGAAACGTTCACATGGGGCCAAACTAAACCAACGGAAGCGGAAGCGTCCGTTGCGCCACCATCGACCCCACGGAGAGCTTCCGCAGAAAGCGAAGGGGGCGGCGGGTCGCGGAGCGCTGACTATCGCCCTGTTACGGGGTGGGAGAGGACGACTTTGATGCGGGCTCCGTCCCCACCCGCTCCCTCGCCGCCGCAGTCGTCTTTGCCCGTCAAGGGTACCCCAGTACTAGCTTCTTCAGGCGTAACGAGGGGACAAGCAGGCGTCGGCGCCGCAGAGACCGCAAGCTTGGCGATGAAGCCACTGCGGTCGGCAGTGGCATCGGCTACGCCGGCGTCGTCATCGGTGACACCACCGGCACGTTCTCCTAGCCCGAACGCCGCAGGCCGGAAGCGAAGACTGGGCGCTGGAGGAGGAGGAGGAGGCTGTTCAGCCAGCGGGAGTGGAAATGGAGTAACAGGTCCGGGAACAAGCAGCAGTAGCAGCAGCAGCAGCGGTAGTGGTAGCAACTGGGGTAGAGAGGGCGGTACCGGTGCTTTGCCGCCGCCTCCGCCGCCGCCCCCGCCGATCCCCGATCTGTCGTTCGAGGATGTGGCGGAGCTTGTCTGGGACCCGCGGTCGGGGCCGAAGCCCAGAGGAGCGGCTGAGGCGAGAGGCCCACGAGGGGTCGCTGCGGCCAACCGGTCGCCGTTAGAGCAGGCCATGTGGGACCGGGACAGCACGCTGCTCGAGCGCGTGGCGCCGGCGCACGCGGAGAAGTCGATGCAGGTCCTCCAGATGCACCGCCACGACGTGGAGAGGGCGGCGCAGATGCTGACGGTCCGGCACGGGATCCACGTAATGGGACTGTCAAGCGTCCGGACGACCCGCAACAAGCGCGCAGAGCAGCAGCAGCAGCAGCAGCAGTCCCTCCTGAATCCCGCCGCGAGACCACCGTCGTCGTCGTTCGCCGCCACCGGCGGCAGCAGCGGCAGCAGCGGCGGAGGTGGTGGTGGCGGTGGGAGGAGTAGCGGAAGAGCTAGCTTTGAAGGTTGGCAGGCAGCGGCAGCGCCGAGAGCGCCGCCCGCGGCCAAGGCTGTCGGGACGGCATCGCCGACTCATGGCGGGGCGTCCGGGCCGGGAGGAGGAGGAGGAGGAGCGGTGGCGGCGGCCGGGGGGGCACCGCGATGCGGGAAGAAGGCGGACGCCCAGGGCGTCACGCGCGAGGAGGCGAAGCTGGCGGGCGACGCTTTCATGCGGCACGGGCGGGACCTGAACGCGGTGCAGAAGACTCTCGGCTGGAAGAGGAGCCGAGTGGTCGAGTACTACTACTGCGTGTGGAAGTATTCACCGGCGTACCAGGTGGGTTTTTTTAGGGTGGAAGTGGTTGGAATGTAAGGTAGACCGGGAGGGAGAGGAGCGGAGGGCGATTCATTTAGACAATGTTGAGTGTGTGCGAAAGAGGAGAGGAAGCGGCCGGTAGACATGCGGTCTAGTGTGGTTCCAAGACCTTCTTTCACATCATGAGCACACTGCGCTTCACAACTGCAGGAATGTCAGGTTGAATGTGTCCTCAGGCCGCTGCCGTGCGTAGTAAGACCGCCCGACCTCCCGTCTGGTTAATAAATAATAGTTAGTGGTATGTGGTTTCGTTGCCATACACGCAATGGACACTGAACGCGACGATGAGGGCGAGGGTAGGTCATGGCGAGCATGCTCGCGGACGCTACAAAAGTTATGAGCAGTTCCTGTCCCTCTCTCCCACCCCGCACGCTCAAAGTCTCTAAATACCAAATATTCAGTGTGTACAGGGGAGCGGAGGGCTCCTGACTCCCTGTCGTTGATTTCAATTGGCTTGCGGACCATTCGGGTCCTTGTATTATTTTAGTATACCTTTTTGGGTAAGTTACCCTGTCACCACGGGAATCGACCGGTCAAGTGTTTGATCAGTACGGACAGATGAAGGTGCTGGGTAGAGAGATCGGAACGGTTTTTCATGTGAAGACAAAACAAACATGACGCCTTTCTCCCGACGCACTCCGCATCGGTGTTCTCGGCGTTGACGTTTGTAGGTGTGGAAGGCTACCCGGCACAAGGCAGGCTTGCCCGGCGTCAGCAAGGGCGCGGGAACTGGTGGCGCGGGTTCGGGGGTTCACTCCGCGTCCGCCGGCGGGTTGACGGGAGGTGGGATCCTGAACGCGAGCTCCGACGGGATGCGGTGGCGAGGTTCCCGCCTCCGCACGCTCAAGGCGCCGTCCTCCCAGTGATTTAATTGGATCGATTGATTTGTGGATGGCGTTCGATATGGTTCTTAGTCCGAGCGCGCCTATGTGTCTTGTGTCCTGATAGGAGTGCGTAAACACGACGACGGTGAGACACCGAGATTTTTTGTGGTCTGGTTTTCGTGAAACACGTGCCTGTCAGTTGTGTTGTGTTGGGAGGAGGAAGGCGTACGTGCGTGGCCGGTAACAGCGCGGGGGTGGAATGCGTTTCGTGTGGCCGATCTTGTGTTGCTTGGACAGCACGGGAGTTCATTGTCAAAAGGAACAAATGCTTGCCAGTTGTATGTACGCCCTTTGGTCACGTGCTCTCGCTGTGGGCTATCCAACGCGGAGAGGCTGCATATGCGCGTCATTACTCTCTGTTGCAATTTAATGGTCGTAGTTGGTGGTGGTGGTGGGGCGATTGCTTGGCACAAGGACAGTCCGCGTCGCTCGCATCACCCTCGATCGCCCTTAACCATGCTCACCGTACGGAGGCATGTATGCGGGCATTTAGTCTTGAAAATGTAGCGTGTGCTTCTCAATGGCTTGATTTCATGAAGAGGCATGTTGGCAGTACGGTATGCTGTTGACGGTGGCTGGCTCTGTCGAGACCTGCCGTCTCTGCTGCCCGAAAAGGGTGAGGAGAGTACGGAGTCGAGAAGGATCTTTTTGCCGAGTCGGATACTGGCTTTCGTGGCATTAGCGTCAAAGCCGTAAGCAGGGTAACAAACGAGTGTCGTGCGCATGATTCGGATGTGGAAACGCACCGTGTAAGGTGCTATTAGCATCAGTTTCGACAGATGCATGCGGCCGTGGAGCCATCGTGGAGATTCGCTCGTGGTACAACAGCAGTATCGGGGAAAGGGTAAGAGGTTAGCGGGCGGTCTCTGCTGCCGGTATGTGTGTGTCGCTTGTGCGAACCTTTTCTGTGGGTGTTGAAACCGCCCTTGGGCATACTATAACTAATATCACACGAAGAGTCGTGACTCATTCTTGGTGTTTCGGTGGCAATATCCCGCGGTAGCAAAGACGGTTTCAGATTAATGCATGCGGCGGCGTTGAAAGCCCCGTCGCCAGTCCTCCGTGCTTGGTACACCCATGGATACCGAAAGGGCCAGCCGGGGTGTTGGGGGGGGATAGAGTCAAATGCTCGACAGGGAGGCATACGCATGCGCACGGGGGACGGTTATGAACGCGATACGCGATTGATGGCTAGGAGTGTACTTTATATTTAACCACTCCGTCTTGGCGGAGTCGCCATGGTGCGCCGCCGAGAAAATTTAACGTCTTGACGGAGGGGCCCGAAGGAGGGGAAATAAGGTGGCCTGTGTTGTTGATGTGGCCTGCCACCACGTTTCCTGCCTCTTCCTCCAGTACGATTTTATGTAGACATGTGGGAAAAAAAGCGTTTGTCTTGAAAGGACTGACAGGTTTAAATAATCAATGCAAACACCTACGAATGCATTGCACAGGGCATGGTGGCCCCCACCAGCAGCAGCAAGCTGTTGATGCGTATCTCATAGGCATCACAGCAGTTGAGCTCTCACCTCACCATGTTATTCGTGCTCTGGGCTACGATTGAGGGCCCGGGCGCCGGGGCGTTTCGAGACGGGGCTCGGCGGACGGGAAGACGGGGTTGAGGAGGGGGGGGGGGGGGGGTACTCATAGTCGTGCATGCCGTAGTCGTTTGACCATTGACCTCGCATCCCTACAAAGCCGGGACGGAGCACGCCGGGTTCTCACCGGACCAGGCTCTCACATCACCAAGCGCGAAGCGCCGTGAGGTATTTGGCGAGTCGCATGAAGGGTGAGCTGCATCCTGCTAAGGGTGTTCTGCATCTTGTGCTTACTTCCTTGCGTACGGATGACAGCTACGTATGACTTAATTTATTTTTTGGTGCTTTCACTTCCAGAGACAGTTGTACGCACTGTGTAACTGCCTCGAGGAAGCTTGACCATTTTAACACAACGTGGTGCGATCATCCCCCGTTGCGCGGAGTGAGGTTTCTCGACCCCGCACAACATGATCTACTCGACCACCATTATGGTTACCGCCAAAAAAAAAAACGAGGTAAAAAAAAAAAAACGGTAACCTGGTTGCCGAGTTCACGAAGTGAATTGGCCTGTTTTACAACGCCGTTGCCAAGCGACGAAAACCCAATCCCGATGGCAAACACCGAGTGGGGGGCTTGTTTTACAACGTCGTTGCCAAGCGACGAAAACCCAAACCCCGATGGCAAACACCGGGGGGGCGGGGAGGGGGGGTGCCATTTGCCGCGGTGGTAACACTCCTCATGCACGAGGGCTGGACATAGGCATGCTTTCAACAGAATGCCTACTTCTGCAAATAACCACATCCAGACACGGGCGCTCGCCACTCGTCACTCTTCTGCAGGAGGGATTGACGAGACACAATTTGTTTGCTGGCTGTTGGCGAAACATATGGCGTCTTCGGACAAGTCACCCAAAGCAGAACAACATCGAAAAATTCCTGAGAAGCCCTTGAGCCGTGCAACACATTGCACGCCTTGCCCGCCACCACTTGAGTGCACGCACTTCGTTCAACAAACGACGCACGCATCGTACCGTGTGTGCAACCCATACCACAAAATACACCTACTCACGGATACTTCCTATTTTGTACAGCAGAAACGAATCAACTAGTATTGACCAGCGGGCTTTTTGCCGCCGCCACCGCCTCCGCCTGGCGCCCCCCCAGCGTTGCTATGCCGCTCGATGAGCTCCTCGAGGTACAGCGTGAACAGTTCGCAACGAATCGGCATCTCCAGCTCGTAAAAGGGGTTCTGCTCCCGGTTGCATTCGCCCGGTTGCCGCATCCCGCAACGCCCACAAAACACAGCACGCAAGAAAACGAGGGCGGTAGCGTTAGTGCACTTCATCGTTCAAGCGTTCACAAGCGCAAACAGGTCGAAATCAAGTGCTTGTATCATCGTAGGACGCCGTCAAGGCGCAGCAGTACACATGCACAGCAGTCGACCGAGCCGCACCACACCATTCGCAGCAGGCCTGCCCGTGCGTACCCAAAAACGCGCGCACGACGCAGCAAGAAAATAAGCCCTCAAGACTATTGTACGCGTGCAAGCTTGTCGCACAGCAGCATGCGGGCATGCCAAATACAACTTCCGACCCGATCTAACCCGCCAACTAAGAAAGCAACACATTCCGTAAGCAAGGTCGATCAAAGAAGGTCAACAAAGACGTGCTCGGGAGGCAACCGGCATTCCGAGAGCGGGGGGTTCGGACACGCGTCCGGGGTCGGTTCGGGGATTCCTCTGCATCAGTCGTCTTCTGCCCGTGCCGACTTGCCAAAACCAACAGGACAAAATACCAAGAAACGGAAAACATATCGTCAACTACTACCTGACAGTAGCACCGCCATGCGGGCATGCATGACTAGTTGACAAGGCAATCCCCATGGAGGCCGTGCGAACAACACAGGCTAGAAAAGCGTACGGCGGGCTCGGGTACGGTAATAAACAACAGCCGTAAAAACGCGGCAAATCAGTTCGTAGACTGTACCTTGAGAACGTAGTCCGTATAGAGCTCATAGATCTCTTGCAACACGCCCCCGAGGTCTGGCGTCCCCGCCTCTGCGGTTATGACGAACTTCACCCCCGTGAGCGTCTGGAAGCTCTGCAGCTTGAACGTGTCCGTCTCCAGCTTCTCGATGCCCGAGGATGGAACTGGCGCGACCTACGTACGCATACGCGCGTGCGATTCATGTTTGGTCATTGGGAGCGCGGGAGTTCCGAAGAGAAAAGGAAGACGACACACACGAGGTGACTCGGTTTTAGTTCGAAGGAGGTCGCGGGTTGGTACAGAAGGTGGAGAAGTGACACAAGGAGCGTAAATGTACAGGCCAACCTTCAAAAAAGTCAGTGGGCGCGCGCGTACAGGGCGAAAAGCCGTTTGGCAGGAGCAAAACTACGGCCGACAGCAAATCATAATGTGTTGAGGGGAGGGGGAGATCATCCTGCAACAGGGTTGCTGTTTGGCATGTGCGCTCGTTGCGCGCGAACCAGTCTAGAAATGGGTTCTGATCAGGACGAGGGTTGTCTAAAACGGATATTTTTTTGTCGACAACTCGGTACATGTAATTCCTTTCTGGAAAGTGGGGTCCCGCCAGCTACACTGGATAGACGCCCCGCGTCCCTCTTCCATGCAACGTCAACTTTTCAACAAGTATATCCCAGGCACGTTTTGGTGATTTCACTGTTATCACCCATATTTTGCCTGCTTTTGGAATAATCTTCGTTCGTCGTTGTCGACGTTTCAATAACTTTTTCTCAACCCGCCACAACACTGACGTGCTGCACTGCTGCTGTTGCGACTGCCATTTCGCCTTTACTTTGCGTCCTGTTAACACACCAAGCAAGGACGCTTGCTCAACACTTGTAGCGTTCAGCCGGAGACGAGAGGCCGCAGCCAAGCTCACGTGAGAGGGGTCACGTCGAGCCGATTTTGCAAAATATCCGAGATTTTCAGGCAGAGGGGGACGGGCAGACACGTTGGCCAGACGGTCGGTCGGTCGCACCTTGCTACATATTTCATAGATCTGACACTTGCCTCCAGCGGGCGCACGAGACCCCCGAGCGCCGGAGCGTGCCCCACGAACGAAAGATCGACAGGGCCCGGAGGCTACACATAGACTACTCTTTCCAATCAACGCGAATAGATCGCATACTGGTACTGCTGTAGCAGCAAGACTATTCTGTTGGAGACGGTGCGCCTTGGGCACATGTATTTCGCTCTGGTGGAGAGGATGTAATCTGCTGTCGCGCGTGCAGATCTCTTCTGCAGTAGGAAATGGTGCCAAACGCATCTGGCTTCAAGCCTTACAAGAAGGTATGTACCGCCGCACACCACAGGTTGCTTTTATGCCAATTGGTGCAATGTCGAGGAGCCAACCGTGCGGAAGGGTTTGTAGTAGTCTTTGGCTAAACGTTCGTGAAAGCTCTACTAAGCTTAGCTACACGGTACGTACAATATAGTCCTGACTAATGTCCCTAAAACTCGTGTCCCTACCAAGAATTTTTACATGGTGACTGACACTTTGCATGTCGTGACTTTCACGGACTGCTGTCGCTGTCATGGCACCATTCGCTCACTTGACACCAAATGTCTTGGGTACCACGACTGCACTTACAAGTAGGATACGCCATCGCGGGTCTCTCGCCCCCAAAGGCTGTAAGTACTCAAGAACCGCGATACGGTAGCTGCTGTTGATCTATGCGACTATTATGAAGCGGCTGCATCTCTAACTCCAACAAGACAGCACGCGACGGCCTGCACAACATGTCTTTTTGGTCCACACGGCAGAAGCAGCAGCAGCAGCAGCAGTGGGATAAGATATCAGACATCAGACAACGACACGGCATGAATAGTCGAAAGATGAAGTATGGGTGGATCCCATGCCGTAGCCGGAGGCCTCATTTCGTCCCAAACTCTGTACAAGTACCTGAGCCGCGATGGCGTGCAAGCTGTGGAAGGTCGAGCCTAGTCGAAGCCAATCGTTGCTGTTCAACCGCGGTGCAGCGGAAGACAGGTTCTGTATGATAGGACACGCACGACACGGGGAGCAAGTCTTCGTTTATGAAACAGCGTGTTTGCCTCCCTCCGTGTTGTGGGCAGCTATTAATAGGTGAAGTACAGCAGTACACTTGATTCAACGAAGAGCAGACACGCGCCAAGAACACAGCAGCATGATTCCGTGCGGAGCATTTGATAAATGTGTCATATGGTCAAGGCAACAATCAACAATCCCATCTGTAGTTCGGCCCCACCTGGTTGTATATTAACCCTCCAGATTTATTGACGACGAAAAGTTGGAGGAACATGGATGCAAGAGCTATGGCCTGGCAGCTGTTGCTGGTGTGCCAAGTGCTGCGCCAAAAAGTGTGCGGAGTGGGGGTCGGAATCTGGGAAATTTTGTGAACTTGACACTTGATGGGTGTCACGTTGCCATCTGAGAACCCCCTGGTTCCGCCGCTGCGGCCTGCTGTTGCCACCCCGCACCGCCGCGCTCTCCTGCTGGTTTCGGGACCTCTCAACACGCACGAACGAGGCAACATGGCATCAATGGAACAAGAAGATCCCCTACCTCCAGGCTACCCTTGCGTCAGGTATGCCATCTTGTGTAGATGGACAAGCTCTTGTCTATGTAGTGTTATGCGAACAGTTGCTGTGAAGTTGCGGTCTCTGGCAGTATAGCTCAGCTTGCTGCTCGCCCTTAGTCTAGGCCTATGAGACCCAGCAGAAGTCGGAAATCGGGGTAAGCTTGATCAGAAATGTTCCCCCCCTACATGTCTAGTATGGGACCAAGCCTCAGTATTGTTTCTGAGTATTTCCCTGAGCAAGCAGATGTTTTTTGCCTTCCTCCGACTTCAACTTCGACCGCCCGTTTGCGGAGAGACAAGCGTCTCTGCTACACATCCACGAGCCCTGGTGATCTTGGGGTGAGGTGGCCATGCGCCTTTGAGTGTCGCACCGCACCGCTACTTTTGCTCCGTTGTTGCGTTAGCTGCCAATAGAGAGATATGAAAAAAATGCTGCGCGCTCACGTATTGGCAATTAATTCACCATCTTGGACCGTTAGTTTGCACGTCTGCGCCCGGCAAATTAATTTAGAATCCAAGACGATGCTTGCTGGACCAATAATGGACGTCTTGCCCTGAGTCTTCACCGATTCACGTTTCAGATATATTCACACGCGCGTGTCCCGGTTCGACGTGCTGTACATTTGGGCGCACACGCGTATGGTGTAACGTGATCGGTACGTTTCCCATATCTAGGTTAGTCGACATCGTCTATGTCATCGGAATTTCGATGTTGTTACACGCTGCTATGGTATACGACTTCAGGTCGAGCACATTCTCCAGCGCTTCCCCGTTTCTGTGCCCGGAGCATCCGACCAACGAGGACCGCGCTCTGGTGTTTGACGATATGGTGAGTTGTGCGGGGAAAGTACTGTAATTGGTCGCCGAAGGCAGTGAATAGTTTATGGGTCGGCGTATGCATAAAACGTGGTACGTAGGCAGCAGCTGCTTGCTGGTGTGACGTGCAGGACAGCTGTAAATCGGAGGGGGGGGCGGGGGCGGGCGGGAGTCAGAGGCACGAATTCTTACCTCTTGTCAGCCTCGACTCGTCCGAATCGTAGGCATGCTCTGAACATGACCTAGGCGCCTATATACAGCCGTCGCAGCGGTTTTATTGCCTAGCCGATGCGCGTTAAAAATCACGGTTCGATGTATCTCCCTGAGCCTTTCACCCGCCGGCAGCAGTACAACTGTGTGTAAGGTGCCCTTCAGCGAGTTCGCGCTTGCTGCGTACCATGATATATACTGGGGCCTTTCCGCATGGCGTAGCTGTGTGTGTGCCAACTCCGTTGTTGCCGCAACACTACCGTGGCCAGCCTTTCTCTGAAGGCCCCAAAGTATGTTGTTTGTGAAGCACCTTTTTTTTTTAACAGCCTTGGAAGGAGCGGACGCTTGCTTCATCGCGGGGTTTTGCGGCAAGAGCTGTCGCGCGAGCAGTAGCAGCGGTGCCGCAGCCGTGCCCTGCCGCCGCCGACACCGAGGCCCTCACGCAAATTCCAGCAAGCTGTGGTCGTGTTCACGAACACGTGACCTACAAGTCCACGGATCCACCCCTCATTTCTTGTGCCGTGCCCGTCGTCAGGTTCTTGTCTCCCACCGCACACCGAACCGTGTGCTGTGCCATACATCGCAAAACGCCAGTACCTTGTTGTTTTGCGCGCTCCTCCCTTGCGATTTCGCTTACGATCGAATGGCGGGTGGGCAGGTATCCGTGCTGAAGCTGGCTCCGACGGGAACGCGAGGGCCTTTGGCGTGCCTGTTCGGGGTGTTTGACGGGCACGGTGGCGATGGAGCCTCCAAGTTCGTGGCGAACCACCTCCATCACTTGGTGAGCTACGCTACGACGCGGACGATACCCAGACTGGGAGCGTCCAGGCGCTATGCAAGGATTTGAAAAACGGCTTTTTATCACCTAGCAAACAACGGCAGATTCTGGTGGTCTGGTTCTGGCGGGATAAGACTTGCTCTGTGTCATCCGCTCGCCACACGGCGCCGTGGAAGGGGTTTCGTGTCGTTTACGTGTGACAAGCGAATTTGACCAGGTTTTTGCGTCACCATGCACAGATAAGTGCTTTTTGCACCACCTTTGTACACGCCCGGCAAGTCTTATCAACCGCCGAGTTCTTGTGCACGATCCAGGAACGTATTAAACACAGGAAGAGCAACGGCCGTACCTGAGGAGGCGTCTCGTCGTTTTTTTCTACCCTGTCGGGGGTTTTTGTCACCCCCCTGTTCGCCATGGAGCATACCGTTTTTGCTTTGCTGCTCCCCCCCCCCCCTCTCTCATCCGACCCGGCCCTCACTCCTCTCTCTACATGTATCCTTCCCCACCTCACACCATACCATACCACACCGCACCACGCTAAAAACCTCTCCCCCCTCCCGGTGTTTGCCATCGGGGTTGGGTTTTCGTCGCTTGGCAACGACGTTGTAAAACAAGCCCCCCACTCGGTGTTTGCCATCGGGATTGGGTTTTCGTCGCTTGGCAACGACGTTGTAAAAAAAGCCAATTCACTTCGTGAACTCGGCAACCAGGTTACCGTTTTTTTTTTCCTCTGTTTTTTTTTTGGCGGTAACCATAATGATGGTCGAGTAGATCATGTTGTGCGGGGTGGAAAACCCTCGCTCCGCGCAAGGGGGATGATCGCACCACGTTGTGTTAAAATGGTCAAGCATCCTCGAGGCAGTTACACAGTGCTTACAACTGTCTCTGGAAGTGAAAGCACCAGAAAATAAATTAAGTCATACGCAGCTGTCATCCGTACGCAAGGAAGTAAGCACAAGATGCCGAACACCCTTAGCAGGATGCAGCTCACCCTTCATGCGACTCGCCGAATACCTCACGGCGCTTCGCGCTTGGTGATGTGAAAGCCTGGTCCGGTGAGAACCCGGCGTGCTCCGTCCCGGCTTTGTAGGGATGCGAGGTCAATGGGCTAATGACTACGGCATGCACGACTATGAGTACACCTCCCCCCCCCCCCCTCCCTGTCGCGTGCGCGCACCAAACACGGACCCCAAGATCGGGAGGAGCGCCTTCTACGAGAGCATCGATTACCCCGCGGACGAGGCGCTGGCGAGCGCGGTGGAGGAAGGAGTAGCGTCGGTCGAGCAGGTCGATGGCGTATTCTCATGGGTCAGGCGGTCAGAGCAGTGCCGCGGAAGTATTACAAGAATAATTTAGCGTGGGTACGCCACTAGTACACACAAAGACCCACGCGTGGGGCATCGATTGCACACGTGTGCGCGAGATATGCCAAGGGGCACTAACAGCCCTTTGTAACATTGTAAACGAACGTTGGGAACAAGCGTTTTCTCGGAGTACAAAAAGGTACCCGAATATGTCTCTGGGTAATACGAAATACTCGTAAGCGTCGTAATTTCGGTAGGTACGCAAGAGGACGGGGCCGGTTAGATAAACAGCAGGTAGGGAAAAATTAGCTACTGACTTGCGCTTTTGGCGGTAAGAGAAGACTCTCCTTGGTTGATCTCGCTTGTCCGACTGACGATGACCATAAAAAATCGTTTGAACTGATGTGTGACCCCTCTCCCCCCCCCCCCCCTCGCGTACCGCCACACTATTGGCTGGTCGCACCGCTCACACTTGTAATTGTCGCTCTCTCTCTCTCTTTCTCTCTCTCTCTCTCTCTCTCTCTCACTGTTTCACAAGCGTGTGTCCCTGGGAAAGGAGATGAAAAGGCGATCATTTGTTTGTCGCTACCTCCCTCTCCACGTCTGACAGCACCCACCCAACCCACCCAACCCCGTTTATATTGCAACGCCGTAATATTCTCCACTTGAAAGCATGCCATTGAGTACAGCGGGCAGGATCGCTGCTGTGTGCTGAGGGCCGTTTTCGGATGATGCGTACCGTCTGCTTCTTGCCAGCAGGCTTACACGGACTGGTCGAAGAGGTCGGGAGACACCTCCGGCTGCTGCGCTTGCGTGGTCGCAATCCGGGGTTCGGTGCTCTGCGCCGCTAACGTTGGGTGAGAGAAGACACCATCGTCGACTGCTGAAAAAATTTCTCGTTTTCGTGTTTCTTTGGATTTGTCTCACGACCTTTTCTTCCGCATGCTCTCCCCCCTTCACCTCCTCCCTCCCAGTGCCCCACTACCCTCGACCCACCTGTCCCTGTGTGTTCGCCGTATTGTTGTTGTTGTTGTTGTTGTTAATGGGGGAGGAGGGGTGAAGTAGTGCCTCCGGAACGTTGTAGCGTGGTGGTGGTAAAAAAGTTGCTCTGTGGATGGGTTTTGAGAGTTCGTAACTTTCCAACTTGGTGTATTCGTTTCGTTTGGCGTGCAAACACTTTGTTTCCTGATTAAACCCGCTCGTCTCGACCTTGGTGTGGCCTGCCATCCTCTTTGCGTTGCACAAATCGTGTGCAAGTTGTTTGCCATGAAGGTTTTTTCTTGTACCCGTTCAGCCGGCCAGGCGAGTATGACACATCTTTCCGTCGGTCCGTCATGTGGCAGAGCACATGAGGAGACACTCCGCCGCCGCGCTATTTTCTGCTGCTGCTGCTTTTCTTTTCTTTTGCTCTCGTCTCCACGCCGTGTCGTTCGTTGTTCGTCACCCGAAAACAAACACGGTGTGTGTTCGATCGGTTTGCTACGACGCCCGCTGTTCACGGCACTGCTGAACGACACGGCAGGGACTGCCAGGCGATCCTCATCACGGACAAGGGGGCCATCGTTTCTCTCTCCCGGCGTGAGTAACCCACACGCGCCCTGCCGGTAGCGGTCGCTCCCCCACCGGTTGTGGTTGCGTTCGCCCAACCCTCTCTCGATTTTGTGTTTTTTTTTGTCCCAGGGGTTTGTTTTTTGTTGGCCATTGGATAAACAACACCGACGGCGGAGATTGTGACATGTTTGTTGGCCGTTGGATAAACAACACCGATGCGGAGATTGTGACATGGTTGCACGCCCTCCTTCTCTACCCGGCTGAGCACGAGCACTACGCATCGGTAGTGTGCGACATTTTGCCTCTTTAGTTCGGTGTTACAGCTGGCTTTGCTTCGAAGCCCATGTGTTCTCCGGGAGGTTGTCTATGATTCCATGAAAGGCGTGTTTTTTGTAGGGTGGTAGGATTTTCGGTATCGTGTCTTGACTTCGAGCTTACGCGCGCAGCTAGCGCCCGTGTGCCTCCTCAAGTCTCGGAGAACACGTTTCCCCCCGTCTGTCTCTGGCTCCTTTTGTTGGTGACCAACTTCTTGTCTACTCCTTTCCTCTACATGGGTAGGTAATCTCTCGTTGCCTCCCTTCTGCCCCTCTCCTCCCCTGTCTCATTCGTATACATCAGTCTGCCTGTTTACCTTTATCGCCCCCTCCGTTCCCCTCCCTCCACATCCACGCCCATGTCCTTGCTTGGATCCCTTGTTCCCCTGAAGCGCACCGTGCCGTCGACCTCGACGAGAAGGCGCGGATCCGAAGCAACGGCGGGAAGGTGGTGCAGGGGAGGGTCATGGGCGTGCTCGAGCCATCTAGGGTTATCGGGGTGAGAGAAAATCTCGCAGATCTTTTTGCTGTCCATGTCCCGTTTGGTTTCGTGTCATCGTGTTGTTGATGCAGATTGAACGGGCAGCCGGCGGTGGGAGCGATGCTGGTTGGAGTTCGAGCTAACGTTAGTGCTCTCTTGAGGGTCGATCGCGTTGCCGGGTTGACGTGTGCAGAACGGCGCAGCCGCGCGGTATTTGTTTCTGTGTGACCAAGCTCTGCGCTAGCAATAGCAACACAAATACATGGCCAGGGTGCGTGGTCTACCAAGATGACGTGTAAAGCCCTAGACCAGCAAAACCCTGGTAGTTCTAACCCAGCAGCTGTGGTAGTTCTCACCCCAAACCTAGCCATGGCCGAGGAGGAAGAAACTGAACGCGGTACTCAACACCTCAGCTTCTGGTGCTCACCACCCTACCCCTTACCCCGACTCACGATGGCCTTGGCGACGGAATGAATCGACTCCTGCGATGCTTCCGTCCTTGGCGCTTCCGAAGCCGATGGCGCCGCCCGTGGTGCTGCTGACGTGGTTTCCGTTTCAATTTCGCGCGGCCCTGTTTTACGACCCTTAACTTGGTTTTTCGGGCCTTGCAGGACTATGACATCAAGCGGACCTGGCCAGGTTGCGTTATCGCGGAGCCGTACGTGCTGGTCCGAAGCTTGCCGTACACACGAGGGCAGGTGTGTGTTTGTGTTAACATTGAATGAAGACTGTGGCAGTCTCTTCTCCGACTCGTGTGTTTGCAATTTTTCTGGTCATGTCTGCTACGTGCGTTTGGGTGGTTTTGGGGGTTGTGTCGGCTCTTTCGTTGTCCAGGAGCGTCCCCTTTTTTCGTACCGTGTGCGACATGGCGTGGAGTGGCGTTCCCTGGTGTGTCGTGATTGGTGCGTGGCCTCGTTGCACGTCGTTTCCGGCTTGACTGTAAACCGACCTTCCTTTGCGTGGCGTGGGGGTCGCTGCTGCCCCCCCCCGTCTAGGTATTTGCCGTAGACCCCATGTTCGTAGGCCCCCTCACAACCTCACGCTTCCTTTGCTATCTATCACATGTTGTTTGGGTGGTCACCCCCTCCCTCCCAGCGCCTCGCATGGGACAAGCACGCGTGCACGCTCACGGTAGCCTGTAGTGATGGCCCCTCTTGCCCTCTTTTCTGTTCTTTTTCGTTTTTCCAACAGGAGCCATCGATCTTAGTGGTAGCGTCGGACGGAGTATGGGACTTCATGACCCAAGCAAGCGTATCGAAGCTGGTGAGTTGTTGTTGCTCGTTGCAAAGCTGAACTCCAAGAGTTCTTGGGGCCGGGGTGCGTGGTCGACTTCGTCTGCTGCAACCTCGTGGTGGGGGATTCAGGAGTAGGACCGGCGACCCTTGTCCAAGCTGCAAGTCTCCTTTTTGTCAACACCTGGGGCCAAGTACCAAGCGATATCTCGCCTGTGCCCCCCCTTCAATCCGCCCCCAAACCACTGGATCCGGTTTCGCTGCTGCATCCCTCTTCACTCTGAAGTAATAGTGTTCCAGCTCGATGTCGTTGCTCCGCCCCGCCGCAACGCACGACGTTTGCTCCTTTCCTTGCCCACGCTTTGCCCGACGCTCGTCGAGAAAGGTCACCGAGGCGATCCGCAAGCAAAAGGACCCACGCCAGGTGTCCAAGGAGCTGGTGGCCGCTGCGAGGGAGGCAGGCAGCGGGGACGATATCACCGTGGTCATCGCGAAGCTAGGGTGACTGACTGACGACAAGAAGCTGCTGTAACCGTCTGTCCGTCATTCGGTTTCGGAATGGCATTCCGAGAGAGCTTCCTGAAGAGTTTTTTTCTCTCTCTCTCTCTGTTATCGTTTCGATGGCCGGCTTCCACGAAAGACGGAACGGAGAGCGTGAAGGAAGCAACGAGCGATTGAGCAAGGAGCGGTCGAGCCCGGCCAGTGTCACGAGAAACCAAATGAGCCATCATGTGTGGCCGTAGTAGGTCTGGGTGCTTTAAACCCGTAGCTCCCGAGTTGTGCGAGGAGCGGTTGTGCTGTTGCACCCCACCTGTGATGCGTCCATGGGTTTGTTTTTTGTGTACGAGTTCGTGGCCTTCATACCGCGTTGTGGATCACGCGAACCGTGTAGATAGTTGTAAATATGGCTTTGTGTTTGTTAAAAAGCATGAGTCGGGGAGCTTGCGTGTTGAGTGGGGGTGTTCTCGTACGGGGGGGTGTGCGGCCCGGGGACGTTTCTCCTTTGTCTTGCAATCTCGCGCTTGCTCCTCACCATGCTGCACCGTCCAGTCTACAGACAGCTTCATTCGCTCAAAAGCGGCAAAACAACACCTTCGCGTTTTGTGACCTGCGTCGGTGACACTCGGCGGCGATTAACGACCTCCGTGCCCGGTGGTCTCGTTGTTATAATAGCAGCTTGATTTAAATAGAGAGCCGTGAGGACGTGGTAGTGGTAGATGTACTCGGGACAGCTCAAGTTATAACCATTTCGTTTTGATCGCGTCTTCGTGGGTGCTGGTCCTGTGTATCATGAGACCGCTCGTTTTTTTTTGCATACGTGGCGTGGGGGATTGCGTTTGTGTCCTTGCCTGCGCGTTCCTGCGATAGGATGACGGTGCGGTGTCCGCGGGTGGTTGTAGACGGGCGGTTCAGGAGTGTACACGACTAGATAGAAGCTATCGTTCGACTAGTGTAGTAGTGCGCCACGCGTGCTCTGTACCTTCTTCGTAGGTCGTGTTTTGTTCCGTTTTGCTCACGCTTTTCCTTTTTCTTTGTGGCAGGGCGTGCATTGCGCCCGGCGGGCGGTTTAAACTCAGATGTCGACAACAATTGGCAACAAAATCTGCACGACCACACCTTTGCAGTCCACCCAGCCTTCTGCTTGCGACATGATGGGATTCGCATATTGGATGGTATCACCTGTACACTACCATAGTCGGAGCGTTGTGTGCAGAAAACATCGGTTTCATCGGGTGATCGGCTTCGTTATAAAAAATATGTATTGGAGAATATTAGTGGTGGCCTTCCCGAAAAAAGACTTCTGCCGCCTGGCATCAAAAGCTTGAGGCGTGTACCGTCCAAGACGGCTGGGGCGTAAATAGCTGTGTCGTAACCGGGTAACAGCCATTGTCCTGTCAGCAAGCCGGTGCCGGGGTATGCATACTGTAGCAGCGGCAAAGAAGCACGTGAACCTCCCGACTCCCTTTTCTGCCCTCTCTCCGCCAGTCAGTGTGTAAACAATCATGCCCTCCGAGTCGTTTCCCACCAGTTTGCGAACGCATGACGGGGACAAGCGCTGTTGGGTTGTCGTTAGGCTCCCGAAGATGAACAGTTGAACATCATCTCGAGGCAAGTTTTTGAACCTTGCTTTACCTTCTCAGGCTGAGGTATTCTTTTTGTATGCGTATGCATATGCACAGCTCCATAAACGCTAACGTTCCCGCACGGCTGATGAGGAATCAGACGCACGTAGACATCAACCATAGACTATGATTGTGAGAGATATGATTGTGAGAGACAAGCGGGTGCGGTTTGCCATTTTATGTTGTTACGTGTGGTGATGACGGCGTGTGGGACGTTCGGTAGTACGTACAGTCGAGACCGACGCACAGCAGTCGGTTTTGTCAAGAAGAAAACGGTAAAGACGGACAACCATCGGTTAATACTCAATCTGATTTAGTCTAGAGAGTAGACACACATCTGTTGCATCCTACTACTACGTGCAGCGTTCGATGTCACACGCATCTCATCTATCTGCGGGTGAACGGATCAGCGACAATAGATGATGATGAATCAGGGAAACCCGCTCGAAGCACTACTTATTGTGAGTTTTGTCAAAGGAGCCGACAAAGATAAAGATAGATATGCGCGCGCGCGTGAAAACAAGAAAATAAATGTAACTGCAGATATCAGTGATGTTGTTGCTGTCTTCACATTAAAAACCATTCCGGTCTCCACTCAGTACGTTCTAACATCCGTATCGGTCCAGCTGGCGGGGAATCGGTCCAGCTGGCAGGGACGGTATCGCGTTCAGACAACCAAAAGTTCAAAAACTCCTACCTGTTTCGACCAACAAATGGGCAAGCACTCGGTCTTTTAGAAGCGGCACTGCTACACCACTTCCTGCTGCTACCTACTCCGGGCTGTTCGTCTCACACATGAGCGATGGGTCAACAATCAACCAATCTATACGGTCGGCCTTTTCGTCGATTGGTAGCAGGGTCCCGTCCAACATTGAGCCCATCTGGTTCGGGCAGACTCTCCTCTTCTCACTGACACGGGCACGTTGCGTACCGACGTCGTCGCTGATCGATTTCCTGAGCATCTGCCACCTACCGATCTCTACATAAGGACGATTTACTTCCATGTGTGTACTGAGACATGTTCCTTGTACGCAAAAGTTGGCCCTCCCCCATCTCCCCAGGCAATGGAACTTTGACTATCGACAGCCACGACACAGTAGGGAGGAAACAATCGCAACAATCCAGTCACCGAGGCCTCTACACAAAGCCCAGTGCACGACAAATGTCAAATGGCTGTTTTTACACACGATTAGGGTACAGATACGTATCGGGAACAACGGCGCATACCTAACTGGGGTATATGTACTTATTTTACTGAGAGGGTACGTATCGCCTAGGCTACGAAAAGGTGCTTCTACGAGGTGTGTACTTACTGGCTATGGCTAACACAATAAGGCATGGACGACTGACGTTGTCCCTGGCAGGCTGTGTTGGCCCTGCGCGCCCACGAAGTTGGCCCTTGCTGGAACAACCCGGCTGCTTCACTACAAACATCAACACAGATCGTGAACTCTACTATTACCCGCGAGGCTTAAATCTACACTATACGAAGAATCAACCGGGGTAGCAAGCACACGGCCTCGTCTTCTCTGAATGGGTCAAGCCCAACCCCCACCAACCACTTCGGAGCACAAAGGGGCGCGCATGCAGCGGCACCCTGAAAAAATGGGAAAGTAAACCATGACAAAAACCGACGAAAATGCCAAGGCGCGAGATCTACGCGGCAAACAACACACAAGGACGAAACGAGTGAAAACAAAACGAGTGAAAACAAGAGACAAAAAAACACTTCTACTCAGCGGGACGCTCGGCCTGGCATACAGTTGCTCCACACCATCCTGACATGTATGCGTTCATGAGATCTCAAGAGCCTCCAACCCCCAAATACAAGTAGCGGGGTGCCAGAAGAATTCGGGCGTCATCAGATACGCAGGAACATGACATCATGCAATACACGTTCCGGCAATCACGCCAATGAAGCAAACTGTACAAAGGTCTACAACAACAAAAACACCCGAGTACACTGCAAGTAGCGGGTAGATCGGTTACAGCAGAGTGTGCCCCGCAATTGCTACATCGAGAGTAACAAAGTGACTCGATCCTCAACACAAACAAAACCTTGGTATTCTCTTGGGTCATGGTGCTGGAGGAAGTAGTCCAGATGGCTCAATACTCCAGGGGCCGACAAAACCAATCGAAACACTCCACGATGTCTCTGCCAGATGAAACATGACTTGGTGACCCTCTTTGAGCACGAGCCAGAGTCTAGAACTCTCGAACGCCCGCTTTCAGACCAGCCCGTCAAGCCAAACAAATCCGATCAAAACCAAACCAAACCAAAGCTAAGCCGGAGGGAAGGCTAGAACTTCATGTTCTCGGGCTTGGGCAGTCGGTGCACCACAACGCTCACCGTCACGCGCAGCGACGGCTCTCCTCGGCTGTTGTAGCCGTGGTACATGTCCCTGAACCGCACGGCGGTGCCGTCTAGGTCCAGGACGACGGTGTTGAAGAAGTGCGTCATCTCCTCGGAGAGTGTCCTGATGCCCAGGTCGGTCAGTCGGCCTCGCTGCGCCACTCGCGCGTGGATCTTGCCAAACCTTGTTTGTTTTAGTGTTGTTGTTGCGTTTGTTTTGTACTGTTTGTTTAGGCGCTTGTTACGCGGTACAAGTTTGATGCGTTTCCATTTGTTGTTACGTACGGGGCACAAGTTCGTGCGTTCCATGTGCACGGCGTGAACATGGACCCACTGACACGGCGAGATGGAGGGAGGCTAGTTTGAGCAGCTAGGCCGGCAGATGCCCTGGTGCAACTTGCTGCCGCGCCGTTGTGAGAGTTCACGGCAACGGCGGTCGTGGTGCGATCAAGAGGAGAGGATGACGGTCCATGAAGTGTGTAAACGAAGCATCGCATGGACTGTGTTGTCCGTGTTCGAAAAGCCGCGAGGAGACATATCGCTAGGATCTGTTTCGCAAAACAATAATCAGTCTGCCAGTTCTCCCGCTCACAGTCCATTCGCCACAGAGTAGATGCTCCGGTATACTAACAGCCCCGCGTATACATATACACAAGAGGGACCCCGCGGACTAGAAATCGTTTTGGTAATGTTGTCCCACCACTGGAACTAATGCGTCCTTGTTTCCCTGTCAACTTCAACACAACTTCTGGGCACCCCTTCTGTACAATATTTTGATAAGAAAGCCTATACCACGCGCTTTTCATCCCGCCATATGTAAAAATTGACATGTACTCGTTGAACAGCCAGTTGGCGCGGCCGATGCAAATCAAAGCAAAGAAGCACGCACACACACACCTGTCCGGTTGGCACGCCTCCATGACTACCGGCTGCCCTTGCCAACTTCCAGTGAAGGTCGCACGGCCTCGTTCGACGTCGAGGGCCGTTCCTTCCCGCCGGAAATCGAACTTTCCGCTGGGAAGATCCGCCGTGGTCAGCAGAGGGTGCACCAAGAAGTTGCCGAAGTCTTGGGCGTCTAGCTCGATCAGGGCCTCGCCCTCAGCTGGACACCTTTTGTTGGTTCGGCGAAAAGTTGGGGCCGACACGCGGGCGGGGGCGGTGTGGGATGGACGGGGGAAAGCAAGTTCCCATCAGCTCAGCCGGGAGCGTTCGTCTTCGATAGGAGAAACACCAGCAGGATTAAAGACAGAACACGTTTTTCAAAGCGACTTACTTGAACAAGATCTTTCCGCGAAACACCTCAGATGGCTTGATGTTCATCTCGTTCAGCGTGAGTGCGATTGTGCGCAGCGTCATCCCCATGGGCGTCACCCAGTTCAACCTGCGCGTGCAGAATGTTAGTGCGTTCGAAGTGTCGGGAGGGGGCCGCCGACAGGTAAGAAAAAAATACAACCTGAGGAAGCTGTATCATATCATCTAGCCTGGTTTTCCGAGAGATTGCTTGACCTGCTCACAACTGGATACTTCATGCCTTCATACTCCCTTACGCCCACATATGAGCATTTCACCAGATAGATTGGGCTCACCTGGCGTATTGGCATGGTACGTCAGCAACAGGACACCGCAGGCAGCGGTAGCCACCGCGTGCCGCTGAAAGCATCATACCACAGTTGCAAAAAACGGCAAAGAAGTCCCCATACAAAGGCACTACTTGTACTCTTGGGTTGGGTTACACACATCAACCGGAAAGAACCCACCCACACAGAACACGAGGCACAATCCTGAGCCTTCGATGCGGTCAAAAGTGCAATATCCATTGCATGCTTGTGGCGACAGCAGCATGCAGGGATAGTTGGCTCTTGTCCTGGCATCGCTATTATAGTAGAAGTAGTACGGAGAACAGCCTGCATTGTCGGCTACTTGTCGCGATTTTCAACCCGTACCATTCCGACCGAATCTCTAGCAACGGGACGTTCGGTGCAATAGGTTGGACTTCCGTTAAAGAAAGGAGTTGTGTCCCCAGTTATGACGCACGTGTCTACAACGACCTGTGCTGAGCGTCCGCGATGCATATGGCGAACACACGATCTTTGATCTTGGCTGATGTCACCTGTACAGACCCTGTTGTCTCGCTTGATGTTCAATCGGCAGATCTCTACATCGAAACATCTGTAGGGTTAAATTTCGAAAGATAAACACGCAGGTGATGGCTGTTGTCATACATAAGGTCTGCATGTCGACACCCACAGGATCGGATGTCGCCATTCCTGCCTTCCGCCCTCCCCTCGTGGTTCAGTTGGTAACCTCGTACCTTCTGACATCTAGATTGCGGGTTCGAATCTCTTTGGAATAAAAATTAGTGATACAGAGAGAGGTGGAGCGGAGTACTGTTGTCCCCGAGTAGGGTACATATTTGTGGCCATATTACTTGATCTGAGAGTATTTTACGTGTTGGGCCCATGTTGAGCAGCATGAAAAATAGTACTTCTACTCCAGTGTCTGTTGTATTATGTGCGTATGCAATGTGGTACCATATCTTTTGTGGGGTTGTTTTCTTGTGTGGGAATCCGGTTACTGTATGTTCATGAGTTCCGCAGGAAAGGGACCGCTGAAGATAAAAAATGAAGGCAAGTATCGCAGGGGGGAACGTGGAGAAGAGTACTAAAAACTCTCGGCTGATGCGTCAGACAATACTGCGGGAAACTTCGCCAACAGCAGTTATTGTTGTTGTTGTTGTTGTTATTGTTGTCTTCACATTAAAAACCGTTCCGATCTCTCTCTACCCAGTACCTTCTTATGTCCGTACTGATCCAACACCTGACGCGGTCGATTCCCGTGGTCACAGCAGTCTACGTAGATGGACGCAAACACCCACACTCATCGCTGGTTATGTGCAGATACATACAGCCGTGTTATCAGACCGTGTACCACATATTGTATCCCCAGGAGAAATTCCGTGCGCGGAAAGCGGCATCCTTCACCCTTGACATAGATCCATTGAGCACACCGGTAGTCGCTTATCTATATCTCTATGACCAGCTTTTCGGTTCAATTACCAATGAATGTTCGTTAGTTTTTTGGATACATCTGCTGCATACACATACCTACATGTGTGTGCATACATGCCTACCGACCACAGAGACACAGACTGTAGGGCACACTCACCCATCCACCTTGGCCTGCTCCAAATTACCTCGAACGAGATTCATCGCCGAGCTGTTGACCGTACATTCCACGGTCGCCTGCCTGGGGTTGGCGAGTGCCAGATTCAAGATACCCTTGGCGACGCTTTCAATCACCGACGAGGTCACACCGATCGCCTTGAGAGATGACACCCCACCCGAGCCCCTGTTGAGAGATCTTCTGCGTCTCCATTTCCGCTGGAATGGGGCAGATGATACCGCCACATTTCGAAGAGCTCCGACAGAAGAACTTGCAGTGAATGAGAAAGCTTCCGCCGCCTGTAGAAGCCCCACCAGCCAAGCCAGCGTGACCACCTGCGAGAAACCGGGGCGGTTCCCAGCAGTCCGAGTCACTTCCGTCGCCATTCGTCCACAGGCAGGTGTTCGAACTCTGTAGGTTCTACACAAACAAGGGTACGATGAGGTGAGGTCCTTCAGGCGTGGTGGGCCACGAGCAAGGGCCGGGTGATGAGGCGGGGGGTGTGATCGCGATTTGGTTTGGTTTGGGTTTTGATGTTTGATGTCTCGGGAGACTTGGCGACCGCATGACCGCATGCGCGCGGGAGGCGGGACTGTTACCTATCTACAGTACAATGGTTGATCTTTCCGAGTTTTCGGATCCGAAAATTGAAACCGCCTTTTATTTTACACCGACAACACTTCCTTCTCTCGCTTTCCCAAATCAACAAACGTACTTTGCAGTTCCTACGACGCACGTGACACATAATTCTTGAAGAAGGACACACGATATGCTCCATACCTCCTCTCGTACCCGCGAACTGGAACCTCTTGCAACGGTACCGCGGGGTACCTTGGTCCTGCTATTCCACGACCTTTGAGCTCTGAGCAGAAGACGGCACGAGGAGGCTGTGGAGACAGAGATCCGCACCAGGCGACATGGGGAGGTACTTGAGCCATCACGCTCCAAGTCCTGCATGCACTACTCTCCCACTTACCAGCGGTTGATTGTTTAATCCTACTCTTTCATTTTCGTAGCTGGACTGCTGTAATTTTTTGTGTTTTTGCGTTCAAACGCCGGGATATTTTTCATCTGTGTGTTTGCTACAGGGACGCTGTCCTTGTATCTGTGAGGTACTGCTGTGGTACGACATATGTATGTACATCACAGGACGATCTCAAACAACACATTGATTGCCGTGAAGCGTGTCATTCCTAAAGAAAATGTACTTAGAATTATTGTGGGCATTTGGCAACATAGTAAGTGTTAATTCACGACGCACGAGACGTGGACACTCGCAGCTAATCATACAAACCCTTCATAATGTACTCGTCGTGTGGATGCCGCGCCGCCTACAATGGCACCCCTGTACCGCTATCTGTACGGGAAGAGTATATGTTCACCGCAGTCTCCTTCGACAATGTGCATGATTGCGTATATTTCACGTTCTCGCGTACGATAGGTCCCAACTCGCAGTCCATCGACACACAAGATGTTCCGCCTGCGCTTGTTCTCGGTTCTCGCAGCAGGTCCGAGGCTGCAACCACGGCGATTGAGCCATATGATGCAACTCCTACCAAAACCACTGAAGACAACCCTCCGACTCAGTTCGAGGCCTTTGAGTACCAGGACCTGGCTGATGTCGCCGAGACGGTAAAAGGCGCCTTCGACGACTTGACCGGGGTGAGCCCCGTGTGGTTTAGCGTCGAGAAGGATGGAGGCGACATGGGACGCAACTCCTCCGCCAGAAATCGTGGCGATGGCCGCAGCGGCGGCGGTGACAATTACGTGATGTTCGGGGATTGGCGCGTGGAAGAATCGCTAGTGGATGTTTTCGAGAATCAACCACAAGCCCAGTCCGACAAGCAGGTATTGTGCTACCCGATGCGGTACAAAATTCATCAACCACGGGGAAAGACTCTACTACCGGCATGTATTACAACAAATAACCCTTTTCAAAAAATGTTCTCCTCTGATCGGGCATGTCATCTTGCGTCACCCGCGGGACGCTTGGTCCACGTCCCGAAGGGAAACATTATAAACTGTGTATGTATATGATTTGGCATGTTCGAACCTGTTTCTCTTACCTTGTCGCCTGACAGGATATCCTGACGAAGGTCAATGCTCTGGTGGCCACTTATGACGAGAATAGCGCCAAGCAGAGGCAAGGGCTCGAAGAGTGCATGGTCGCCTTTAACAAGGCCGTCGAAGGGGACTTGGACACGCGACTGGACACAATGACTCAGGTACACATGCCATAATATATCTACGGTATTTTTTTCTGCTTCCATCACCTCGAGGGACAGTGCCGATGGGTGTTTCCTTTCGGTGCTCGAACTGATATGCCAAAGATTAAAACTCTCAATATTAGCCTTTAGCATCATTAGACAGGAGAAGCGACTGGCAGCCTTGCCTCTGTTCTTGGTTTTTAATAGTATTTGGCGAGACAGGGTCGGGAGCGATCCGAATTAGAAGGTGAATGAAGAAAAAATTGTGGAGGCAACGCACTACAATACCATACCCGTAAAATCGTGACAAGTCTCAACCACCTACTGCTGTGGGCACCTACTGCCGTGGGTACTGCTGAACACCGATCGTCATCGCACTAAACGTCAAACCCTCTCCGCCAAATTTCCGTACCCCTGCCCTCATCGTGCTCTGTCGAAAATATAGCAATGCACCGAGCGACACATCGAAGAGAAAGAAAAGACGGAAGCTGCCCAAGCTGGTCTGGTCGAGCTCGAGGAGCAAACGGTGGCACGTCTCGAAGCGTTGGGGAAAGTTTTGAAGGATCGACAGGAGACCGTGTTGGTCGCTCTCAAACACGAGCGAGAGGTGGGTTTGTCGGTGTGTGGGAGAGCCTGCGACGCACCATATGAAGTTATATGGCGTTCACATAAAAAGAGGAATATATACCATGGTTGTCAGGATTGGGAGGCAGGTTGCGTGGAGTAAAAAAGAAAGAAACGAGCTGCGAGGCTGCGTGCGATACAAAATGACGGAGGCCGAGAGCGCTTCCGTTGTTTCTTTCTCATGCTGTATGTCATGCCTCCGGGCGTCTCCGTTATTTTCGTTCTGACCTTCTTTGTTGCGAGCGAACTGTCCGATGCGTGTTCTCTCTCTCTCTATTTCTCCCTTTCTCTCATCTCTAGTTCTCTAGTTCTCGGTAGGGCGACTACTCCCATCGTCATTGACAGGATTCTCAAACGAGCAAACCCACTCCAATCGAAAGAGCGTAAAACTAGGCGACCATCCACAATCGGAAAAACGATTTACGTAGACTAGCGTGCACTTAGCCAATCATCCCGTATTACTCTACAAACAATGAAGGCCAACACGCGCAAGATCCTAGCGTCGACGCTGGGTGACCCGCTCGAAGAAGGCCGGAAGCTGTTCAACAAGCAAGTGGAGGAGACCGAACTCGAAGGCAAGCTGAAGCAACGCCGGCGCCTGCTAGATCTCAACTCGCAAGGGGTGTCGGTCCAACAGGTATGCTGTACAGCTGTCGTTGTCGTCGCCGTCGTATTTGATGTCGATGTTGTTGCCTTTACACCCGGAAAAAGACGGAAACAGAAGTTGCCAGATGCCTTGATCCCAATCTTCAAATGTTTGCTATCCGAATCATTGTTTTTTATCGTGATTCTTAGAGACTTAAGAGGGGCAGATCGGTAGCGGCATCAGTAAGCTGAGAAAGAAGAACGTCTTTGCTGGTGGTGTGCATGGCCCTGTGTATATCGCGGAACTCGGTTGCAAAACGGGACGGCGGATGCTGGTGAGTGGGAACGACAAGCACCACACAGAACCGTCGTAAGGGGCACAGCTGTAGCTCGCAAATGTCTCGGCATATAATAGCGGGACACGGGCCGGGCCGGGCCTGGCCTTTACCGTGGTCATTCCCGTTACGGCCGTTCCTAAAACTGTTACCGAGCCTTGGGGTGGTCCCCTCCATAAGTCCATCGTAGGCCCAACCAAAAACACTTCGCTACGTGCACATTGCTTTCTCGGATTGGCAGGAAGAAATCGAAGCGGCGATGCTAAAGGCTTCGCGCGACGAGGTTGACAACCTCATGCAAGTGGTGGACAAGATGCAGAACCAGCAGACGAAGCTGTTGGTGACGCTGCAGGCTGAGAAGAAAAATATCTCCGCCGTGAGTCGTACCTGTTGGGACAAACTTGGGTATTCCGGGGCCGTTGTGCTCCCGCCGAAACCAACCTCAAATTGCTATCAGGCCGGGGAGTAGTGGTTGAGATGGAGATCAAACTTGTGCTTGACCCAAAGGGTCGAAGCTTTCGGTCACGACAACTGGAGGTCGGCGACAGTTGTCTGATGTGTCTACGTTGAGGTTCGACCCCTGGACAATGTGTGTTCGTTTTGGCAGGAAGGACTCGAAGCAGCAATTCTGAGAACCGGGTAATACCTCAACGTCTCATGCTCCCCGCTCAACCCCTCACCACCTCTCAGATGCGTCAACATGTCAGCAAGCGGTTGGGCGCTTCGGTCGACAACGAGTCAATCGCCGCAACGCCACCCAGAGAAGGCGGGCCTAGTGGTGGGATAAAACGCCACGCCTCGAAAAAAGGAAAGACCGCCGCCTTAGCGGTGACAGCGGCGTTCACGATGAGCAACCCCGGGGAAGGGATACTAGACGACGGCGACAGTCTCGACGTGATATCCCAACTCTCGGGAATCGAGCTGCTGCACGCTTGCGAGCGGCTGGAGAACCACAACGTGACCCTCCGCCAGCGCCTGGCCAAGCTGGAGCTGCAGACGATGCAAAAGGAGCACGGTGGCGACGAGGATGAGCTGAACAAGACCGACTCTCGCCTACCCCGGGTATGCCCAAGGTTGATATCCTGCATTTATCCTACCGACGAACGATCGCCACAACGAGGTGCTTTGCATCAGCAAACACCGCAGAGGAAAGGTCCAATGCGTTCTCCCACACCGGGAAACTGATCAAGTGCCTCTTTTTGCATCGCCACGCTAGTTCGATGTCCAGCGAGTATAGCCTGTGCCACAATAAATTTGACTTCCTGTTTTCCGTACTCCGCATTTGCCCGGTGTGAATATTTTACGGTCATGTCGGCGACAAGGTACTCGAGACCAAGAAGGAACTCGAGGGAAAGCTAGAAGGCTTGCAGATGGCCAATGAGGAGCGGTCCAAGGAGCTTGAGCGGATCCGGGGGGGGGGCGATGTACCAACAACGAAGTCAGCAGGACCCACCACAGCGATGAGCTCGATCCCCACAACGACAGAAACACCTGGACCCGTCAAGAGACCGGACGCTAACGGCAACGGTTCAGATGACTTCATGGCCACCATTGAGGCCGAGGCAAGCACCAAGCCACGACCCTCGCCGTTTCGAGCTGCTTCCCGCTCTTCAACACTGCAACCCCCCCCCCTTTTCTTGCTCTCCTTGGCCGTCCCCTGCCGTCTCCCACCCACCACTCCTCGACTCGTCCCCTACCCCCTCACTCGTCCCACCCCTCTCCGCCCGCCCCTTACTACGTCACCCCCCTCCCTTTGTCCCTCTCTGTCGACCGAAAACTTTGTCCTCCGGGTTTGCGTTCAATTCGTCAACCTTGATTCAGACAACGACTTTGACACAAAAAGTCAAGACTCTGAGGCGCACACTGGTGTTCAACCTAGCCTGTAAAGTCATGAGGAGAAGGTTCAAGGACGCCGGGCTGGGTCCTGGCAACGATCCCAACCCGCCAAAGGGGCCCATTGTTGTGGACGACTCTCAGCTCGAAGGCGCAGGTATTTGAGTACGTACAGTGAACTGATTGCCGTCGCCTGCTGCCGCGGCCGCTACCTTACCATTGGCTAGTTCTGAAGGTACTTTCGATTCGAGTTCTCGCTCTGTGTGCTCTGCCCCTGCCTCTGTTTCCCTCTATCTATATCCCTCTCTGGCTATTTGGCTCTCTCTCCCGTCGTGTGTCTCCGAGCCCCTCCCGAACGACCATTTTCCAGCACTCTCCCTCGCGATTTCGTCCAAAAGCAAGGAAAAGTCTCAGCAACTTCGTAAAGTTGACGTTCGTCTCTGCCTTGCTTCCCCACACCACCCGTGCGCCCCCGCCCATCCAACACGACAAAAAACGAACCTTTGAATGTCGACCGTGGCCTCCGAACCACACCACACCGTGCCGCACGATTCCCGATCGCTGCGGCGGGGGGAGAGTAGGTGACCGCGGCCTGCCTCCAGATATGCAAGTCCACGCTGCGCGCCTGGAGCAGAAGAACGCGGTGCAGCGCGAGATCGAGCAAACCGAACGGCGAGAACAAGAGCTTCAGCATGCCATAGAGAATACGACGAGCACGAACAGAGAAACCCTCACCGATGGCGATAGCACGGGGAAGAGGCTAGCAGGCGAGGTGGCCAGCGGCGGCGAAGATGTCATGGAAGGCGGCTTAGGACGGGGTGGTAGTGATGCAAACAGGGGTGGAGTAGGAGAAGAGAATGGGCGCCGTCATACTGGGAAAAGGCCGTCTACACGGGAGGACGAGGGAGTGGGGGACGGGGGTGAGGGGCAACCAAAATTAAAGAAGTCAAAGGTGCCTTCACGGATGCCAACGGAGGCAGCGTCGGTGGGTACTACCGCTGCAAACATGAACGCCAGGTGAAGGCAGACTGCGTGTTGACTAATGTACGCCTTTTTGTTGTTTCGCATTTTCTGTCCAGAGCAGCCGTCATCGCAAGAAGCATGCACTCGACACCGAATAACACAATCAGCATTGCTGACGTGCTCTGTGGTGATACACTGCCCCCCCTTTGTTTTTCCATGCATCAGTGCGAGGATTAGAACTCTGCAGAGTATGCAGGCTACCGCGCAGAAGAGGCTGGACATTCTTCAATCGCTGGCCGCAAAAAATGAGGAAGCCGCGAAAGAGAACAGTTTAGATGCTGTCGACAGCGAAGCCGTTGAAGCGGTGAGCTCTTCGAGAGAAGAATCAATAGACGGATGTTGTTTCGCTTTTGTCGTTATGTTCACGTGTACGCAACCACATAACGGTTCTTTAGCTTTTCCTACATCCATCACCCTGTGGGTTTTTCTCGCGTCTCTAGCGTCACCTTTGGAGTGAGACCACGTTGGTGGAGTACATAGCCACTCAGTCATCAAATGTTGTTCGCAAGGGTTGTAGCGGTCGGCCATTGGCGCTTGTTTGTCCTCTTTAGCTACACAGACCTGCTTTGTCTCACGGTTAACAGCTCTCGGATATGTTGTAGAAGATGGACTCGACATTGCCATGCGTACATGTATATGTTGCCATCCCAATAATTCTGGATGTTGGTGTTGGCGCCTATTGGCACGTTTGGATACACTAACCGGGGTCGCACAAGAGGTCACACAGGATATCTATCGGACAAATTATTTTAATCTCAACTCCCTCCGGCAGTACTTGCCTTGATTCTTTCACGAGAGATGTTCGGCCGGCCCTTTCCCTCGTCGACCGTGACGTCGAGCAAACTCGCCGTACACAAGAAATACGTGTTTGGCTTACGCGATAATCCTTAATAGGTTAGGTGTATTTGCACTTCGATACCAAAACCAAGCTCACTTTCACTAATAGTATGTATACCTCGTTGAACGTGCCACGCACAAGTCTCGTGCTGTATATATACGTTTGCTTAAAGCATACGTCGGGTGTGGTTCAACCGGGGATCAAGATCCATCACCCAGTTGGTTTGTTGTAGTCTGATTCGACGGAGCAAATCGAACTCGCGCTACTGTAGGTTCTGCGGAATGAGAGCATCGCGAGGGAGAAAGCCCTGGCTGTCCTCGACCTCCTGTGCTCCCGCGAGATGGCAAAGGCGCGGGCTCGGTGGCTGAAGCAAGCTCTGGAAAGGAGCATGAAGGTGCAAACTAGTAGAAGTGCTGGTGCTGCTGCTCTTTCGAAGCTTTTGGATACGCATATATTTTACTCGTCTGGTGCTTGCTCCACTCTGCGATCTTTTACGAAACGCCTCTGTTGTGAACCCACGCGATGCTGTAGGAGATCTCGGCAATCAAGCTTAGAAGAGTAGGGGCTCAGAGTGGTGTTGTTTCTCTCAGCGTGATACCAGACTTAGAACCCCCCCCGCATGATGGCTAAATTACCAAGGCAGGCCAGGCTGAATAAGCCCCCCCCTTCCCGCGGGACAAACAGATCGTCGCTTTCCCGCCTCCTATGGTGTAAATACGTGTCGAGGTGGAGTTTCATTTTGACGCAGACGTAACACCAAAGCTCGTTGATGAGACCACCTCTCTACGCTGCGGACACGCCTCATGCTCTAACCGTTAAACACGGGAAGCTTAGGGCGAGAAAGCCAAATACTTGCGCAATCGATGACAGCAATGGAAGTGCCTCACTTTTTGTTGTGGATGAAGGGTGTGTTGTTCAAGCGACTCCTACAGATGACAAGAATGACGTCCATGGGCATCTCCGATTTCGAGCTCGCGTCTCCCTACGTTCAGTACCGCTCTCTTGGCATCGAGAGTTTCAGAAATAATAAAACTCGTGTTCACGCCGAAAGCAGCCAACAAATGTCTTGTATATTGGTCTCTCAACGATGCCGGTCATGTCAGAAGCGCGTGACGCCGACGCATACCAGTATAAACATATTTTCAACGAAGCATTAGGTTTTTCCGGCAGCACGCCATCGACGGTGTCAGCAACAAGGTTGTTCGACACCCAGCTAGCTCCTTTCCGCCCCTGTCCTCAGCCATCTGCACCCGAGTTGCCAGTACGACCTGTTGCGGCTACCGCTGGTGCTGTCGTGGAGCACGGCGGTATCAGTACCGGAAGCAGGGACGCGTCTGACACCAACCGAGGGGGTGGTATCGTCACTGACTCTCCTGCCTCCGCAGCTACCACGAGCGCTGACACTCGCAGCAGCGAGGAGGATGGACAGGCTACTGAGAACATTGCGTTAAAGGGGGGAGAAGTGACCGTCGCCGCCGCCGGGGCCGTCAAACACGAAGCGATAGTATCACCGGGGATTCTCCAGGGAAAGCAAGGAGAAGAATTGCTAACATCTGCGATACCGTCAGGCAATCGTGATGCGCCCGCGGCGGCGGCGGCGGAGGCGGTGTTTGAGGGAAGCACAGTCGTACCAGCGGTGATAGAAACAACAACGACTGTGGCGGCGACCGTAGAGGAAGACGCTCAAGGTCGAGAGAGAGAAGCGTGCGACAAGCTCGTGAAAATGAGGGCTGAGAAGCAGGCCATTATCAAGGGTCAGTCAGAGCAAGGAAGGGGCTGATTGTTCTTGTTCCGTAGATACTTCTTTGACTGATATCATCCAGCGCTACACTGCTCCTGCTGCTACCGCTGCTCATATAGCCTACCTCCTCCTATTACGACGGGTGTCACTTCTACAAGTGTGGGGAAGGAACCGACAATATTGTTTTCGAATGCACGCATACAATTCGCACGCATATAATTCGCACGTTAGTTTTCCTCGTCGCGCCCTTCACATATTTCTCTCCGTCTGCCCCCCCCACCCCCCACGACGATGGTTGCTACCGTCCGTGGTTTGGCGCCTGGCTGATGGGGGAAACGAACCCAAAAGACTTGCGCGGAAAAGTGAAAGCAGCAGGCGGCGGGAAGCCTCGATCGATGTCGAAGGATCTCAAAGAACACGAAATGAAAGTAGCCGCGAAGGTATGTGATCGTGCTTCCGGGTCCGAAAAAAATGCTTGAGAGAAACCCTGAGGATAAGTCTAGAACTTTCTCGATGAAAACTTGCGATGACTCTTATCGGTCGAAACGCAGCAGAGTGCGCGTGAGTGAACAATGAAATAAAATACTTAGTAGCACATCAATGTGTTGGGTTTGCTTGACGGCGAGATTCTATCGTGTTGTGTGTGTAGTTAGGTTCGTGAGTTGTTTCCACCAGTCGGCACACGTTCGGGCCCCGAGCCCGCACAAGTTGCGTCTGACAATATCCATGTTGTAACTCGCCTTGTACTGCTGGCGACTGACTGAGCGGGGCTTTGGCCAGCGTGGTTGCTGCATGCTGCCGTCGTTACTTACGTTCGCCGCTCCTCGCGTGGGAAGTGGATCTTATCGCGTGGTGCTTTCCACCACCACCCTGCGGAATTCTGCCGGAAGCAAGGAAACCTATGAGCAACAAAAAGTGTTACAACGGGACATTTCCGTACAAAAATCTAACATGCAAGTATCTGGTGGATCGTATCACTCTCGACGCATGCTTCACAGAAAGCTAAGGAGGCCAGAGAAAAAGGGAAGGAACGAGCCACCGTCGAAGGAGCGGAGGTTTTCAAGTCCCTTCCTCCGAAAGTAGGTTGTGAGGGTAGGTCGGGTTGCATGGTTGTGGTGGTCTCGGTATATCATGCTTCTCTTGTTCTACGTTGTCGTTTGTTGTCCCTCGTAGAGCCTATTCTACTATCTCGTAGTGCTCACTGGACAGACCAGCCCTTACTGCATACGTTCGAGAGGGTTCCACCCGTGCTCAATACAACGATTGTAATGTCACCAAGACTCTCCAACATCGTTTTACTCCAAAACCCACCTTGGTCCAGAAGGCACCTTATCACATGTGGTATGTCTTACCCCCCGCCCCTCCTCAACTAACTCTCTTCAAACTCCAAGGCAGTGTTGTCTCTCGCCACAACAAGAGCAAATAAATCTGAACGGTGCGGGCTAGGAACGTCCGGTCGGTCCGGGTACATGTGTGCAGAGTGCAGAGAGAACGCTAGCTTTCCAGCTCCTTGAAGAGCCATGAGTGTTGTCCAATCATTTTAGGTTGGGGGCAGTACGCAAGTCACTGACTCCAAGAACCCGCACTGGTTGTAGGCGTAAGCACCGGCAGGCAAGAGAAAGCCAGCAAGCAGGCAACCCAGCGGTTTATTGATTTCCGCAAACGAAACGAAAACAGCATAAATGATGGTGCACTTTCAAGATAGGCTGCCCACAAAATCTTGTTTTTTTTTCGCGCAACTGCTTAACTTTTTGGTTTTGCTTCTTGTTCACTTACTGTGCACCAGTGCACTGTTTAGGGCTGATCAGAGCCACCGAAAGTGCCCCGTCTTCTTGTTTACAAGGGCAGAGAAACCACATACAGACTAGATACTGGCACTCATTTTCTATCCCACATGTCGTGGCAACAAGCCCGTGTTCCTCTTCTCCCCCCCCACATAATACCTAGGTAATAGAACAAACACAACCGCTCCGAGCTGCGCACATCTTCCATGGACGTCCCACTCTTTGGTGCCTCTCCTGCACTCCTCTCCAATCGAAGCACCAACGCCTGTTGACATCTTGTGCGCCCGCTCCCGCCCGACCAATGTCGTGTTACCCCCCCCTATGTCGAACAAAAGACCAAACGAGAAATATCCAATCTCAGAAAACTGGAAGCGTCATTGGCCGCTCGGTACGAGCTGTGTCTCGAGCGCATCAAGAAACTCCTTCTCAGCAGAGGATTTTCACCCGCAGTAGCCGAGGGGATGCATCATTCCACCGAGCATTTCGAGCCTTCAAAACCACGCAAGGTGTCATTGAGTTGGATGCGGCTGGATCGGGACTGCGTTAGGTTTGACTGCGGGAGGGTTGGGTTGATTTCCGGTGGGGGGGGGCTAGGAGTGGGGGCATGGTGGAAAGGAAAAGGTGGGTTGATGATTGCGTGAGGGAAGCAGGCATCGATATTGATGTGTTCTCAACCACATCCTGCGTCCCGTGTCCCCGACGATTGTTTGGGGGAACACTGAGAGAAAAACGAGCGGGACGGGGCAAAACAGGTGTACTTACCACCCATCGCTAACACAACGTTAACCACACCTACACCAACAACAACAACGGCGTTGACACCTGTTGCAGTGGACTGCAATGGAGCGTAGGAAGGAGGCCTTCCTCCACTCTCTTACGCCACAACTCGAGAAATGGCGGGCACGCATAATCGCCACCACCGCCGTTCTAGAAGAGGAACAGGCTCGACGGGACAGTGAGGCGGCCGCCAATATCGATGAGGTGACCTTTGTTTACATGTGGAGGGTATTTTGTTCCGTTTAGCTGTTTTTTTGCGATGGTGTGGTACTGGGTCCGTATTCCTCCTGCGTTACAGTGACGTGGGCGTCGCTCCCTGGTTTGCTTCTTCAACTCTGGACACGCGTCGTTTGACAAGTTGCTTTCATTACATCCCATCGTGCGGTCGGCCCCATCGGTTCGAGCACCTCGAGCCCGAAAACATGTGGGCACGCCAACACCAGGAGAAGACCAAGCATTGTCGGGTATCAGCTTTGTTACCCCGAAGAAGAGAGAGACAGAACAACAACAATCCTCAAGGGAATTACCGCCCAAACACCTGGTATACCTCGACCCTTCTCTTATCTCCGCCGCTGCTTTGTTGTTCGAAGGCTGCCGCCGTTGATACCGGTGTCGTTGCCGATCACCCGAGCATACATGGGAATGAAGCGAATAGGATGTCTCCTGCATTGGCGGGCAAGGGCTCGGACAAGGGTGTTGGTGATGTTGTTGGCGGTGGTTGTGATGATGGCCGTGGTGCTGGTGGCAGTGGCGGTGGCGCACGGGGCTCACACTTAGCTTATGACACCGAAGAGGTGGGCAAGGGCGAGACTGGAACCACTGAACAAGCCCGGCCGGTGAGAAAATTGGGAGGGGGGGTGGGGGAGCCGCGACATAGCGGAATTGTATGAAATAGAATGCCTGCACGAAGAACATAGCAATACGGGAATCGGCACCCTCGCCTTGAAGGTCTCTTCTATGCCCCGTTCTGCTCCCAGCCATCCCGCACGTTCCCCACTCACCCAATGATTCCGGTCAACTATTCTCGTCCGATGTTCTCGTCCGAACAACGTAGGAGGCGACCATCTTCACAGGGAGAGCGACGGAAGCTGCTCGTAGCCGAGAAGGCAACATTGCAGCGGCTCACGGCCAGGAGAACATGTTTTTGTTGGGCTCCAAAAGGACCACTGGCGGTGCCACCACGGGCAATCCCTCCTCCGTTGGAACCTTCACTACCCCTAGATCTCCTCCTGATGCTCTCGCGCCTTCTTCTCCTTCTCCACGCTCGTCGAACGTGACGTCCTTCACTAGGGACAATCATCAGAAATTGCAACCCTCTCGCTTGTTATTGTCATCAGCAGAAGAGAACGGCATTCAGCGACAACATCCCCAGAGACGACAGCAAGAGGTGGTCCCGTCTTCACACCCGACCCTGGCACACGCGCCGCGAACGGTGGCATCTTCGCACACGACGCTCAAGTACTACCCCTCTATTGCTGCTGCCATACCTAAGCACAAGCCCGAAATGAGCGTTGGCAGCATTGACGACAGCTTGGACTCGACCATAGCGCCGTCAACGGTAACGGGGGGGGCGCGACTGCAATACTACCACTCAGAGCCTCGGCTGATTTCTCAGCAGGCGCTTTTGTCACATCGAGTTCCCCTTGTCCAGCAGATGCAGCAGCAACAGCAGCGGCGGCAGCAGCAGCCACAGCCACAGCCACAGCCACAGCAGCCAACATCTGGGACTACCGATGGTGCTGCTACTATTTCCGGCGAGATAATTCCTCCTTGGCGAGGCCCACCGCGGCGGCCATCGAGTGGCACAGGCCAGTCTTCGAGGCAACGTAACGCCGCCGATCAGCAGCATCGGCAGCTGTTGGAACAGCGGCTGCTGCGGCCTGCACGTCCTGCACCGGGAAGCGGCGGTACGGTAGCGGATGGTGGAGGCTGCCGTATTTTGCCAAGATTGAACGACGGCGTAGCACCACCCTCATCATCGACGGCGCCATTGGCCTCATCGCAAAAACAGAGAACGCAACTCCAACATTTCGAGCTGCAGCGAAAGACCCAGATGCAGCTGGAGCTGGAGCACCTTCAACGACAATATAAATGGCGAGTGCTTCTTAGAGACGCCGAACACTTGTTATCACGGCCGACAAACACCAACCGCGCCCAAGATGACAGCAACATCGGGCTGCTCCGCTCAGAAACCCCACGGCTTCATCGTGGCCTCACCCTCGCCCAACAACAACCACATCCGCAGCATCAGCAGCAACATCAAGAAGAAGAACAACAACGACAACGAGACTCAGCAACCAACCTTGCCTGGAAATCGCTCTTCTTCCAACACCAGGAGCAGCCGCGTTCGCGATCACCATCACCGCCGTTGTTGGCGACACAATGTGATCCTGGGTTGTGCGTGGTGGGAGAATCGATGACATCGGCGTCGTCTCCCACGAGGGGTGCGTCGCCATCACCGCCAGACGCTTTGTCGTCACCAAAGCGGATGGCGACATCGGGACGAACGACGCCTCCCCTCGCCAATAAGGGTGGCGCCGACGCAAAACCTGTTGACCGAGGAAGAATGCCGCAACCGCAAGACGAATGCGGGCCGTCGCCGGAGACAGGGGACGGCTCGGTGGTGCGACGGGAAGACAACTCTCAACAACCTCCCGGATGCCATACCACCTCCTCATCTTTTTCGAATTCTTCGCCAAACGTGTACCCCTCGGAGAATGGGAACTCGTCATCGACTGGTGGCCCTCCAACCCAGGGGAACCCACCTCCACCCGGGGGTTCTTCGCCGACACTTCCTTTCACTGATGAAGAGGTGAAAAAATCAAACCGACACCACGAATATTTGTCGAGGGCGTGATGCATGCAGCTACTATTTCCTGTGCACTCTTCATCAGATATGTGCCCACGTGGACAGAAATCTGGGCTCGTATCGTCTGCTTCTTCATACTGCTCGTCCGTGATAAGTGCAAAACATCTGTCGTGAGTCGCTGAACCAATATTTTGTACTGAGTGTTGTGATACTCTACGATGCACCACGTGCTCATGAGGGCAAGCGTAGGACACACACCTCGTCACTCCCTCCACCGGCCCGCGTTTAGCTCGTATCGATACTGTCTGTTGTTGTCGCTCACTCGTACACACCTTGTATTCTTGTATGGCAGGTCATCGCATTGGAGAAGCTGCCATCGACTTCGAACGAAGGCGCCTCCGTTTCGTTCTCGGTATCGCTAGAAGCAGCAGCTGCAGCAGCAGCAACGGCAGCAGCTGCTTTCACCCCCCAACCAAACGAAGACCGACAATCCCATTCCGAGGGCAGCGGAAGTGGTGGAGGGCGGCCCATACTCGACAAGACTTCATCCTCGACGTCGCCCCTCCTGCCGATTCCGATACCCACGGCGATCGCCGCAGCCTCGGCTCAGACTGGAATCACGCAAAGGAACGACAACATGGTCGGAGCCGGCGCCGACCCTGCGTCCTACGAAGAAAAGCAGGGAGTGCACCGGGAGGGGCAGCAGAGCCAGAATCACCAAAGCCAGACCGAGAGCAATCACTGCCAGTCGCCCTTTGGTGGTGGTGGTGGTGGTGCTGCTGCTGCTGCTGCTGGTGGTACTGGTACTTCGGCCAATACACTGGCAACAGCAACAAAGCCGGCATCGTTCCAGTCGGTAATGCTGGCGACGGAATGGATGGAGACGGAATGGAAGCCGCTTGCTGTGCCACGGGGAATCACCAAACCACTTGTACACGTTGTCTCATACAACAGGCCGTCGTCGACGGTCACAGGGCTGCAACCGATTCACCCTCTTCCGGTATTCTCCGACGGCAACGAGACACCGCTCCGTATGGTCGGAGCCAAGATATCCCGAGATGGTGCAACGCCTGCCAATGCTGCCGCTATCATTGCCACTACGGACCGCACATCATCGTCGCCGTCTGCAGGACGTTTGCGGGGGGGGATTGTGAGTGGCCCAACGTGGGGAGGGGGCGGGTCGGGAAGAGGAGGGGCGGAACGAGGACAAGGAGGGGAAGGAGTCTCATCGCCAACACCGACGCTGTTCTCGTTCCTTAACAACCACGCCGACGGCAATGACAGCGATAACTCTTTTTTGCTCACTACTAGCGGTAGCGGCACATGCAGAATTGACGTGCACAGCGGCAACGGGAGGAGACCGAGAGGTCGGCGCGAAAGAGGCAGACGGCAGAGCGCGGTTCGTGCCGGGAAGAGTGACGCAACAACAGTGGTCAAGGAGGAGGACGCAGGTGACGAGCGGGAGCAGTCGGACCGATATTCCCAGTCTCCCCCGCCAAGCCCTACCGCGTGGACGCCGCCCACTGGTACACGGTCACTTTTTTCGGGGGGGGAAGTTTGAGGATAGTGTTCGACAGTTTTCGTACGCATATGGAGACGTAGATTGATCGTCCTATTTCTGGGCGAACAGGGCCATAAGTGTCACGGCTGTTCTTCAGGCGTGCCGTGCTTCGTGCGACGTAGCACCTGAAGATACAAACTGTGTTCTTAACTGAGAACGAGGGAGTTATATGGGTATTCAATGTTGGAGGATAGTTTAGAATTGTTAGTTTGGTCATATTGGCACGGAGAAAACAGAGGCGATTGTATTCGGGCGATGTGAGTTGAAGAAATCTTGAGTGCCAGAGGACCCACGGTATATAGTGAAAGGATGTCTTAAGCTTCACGAACAACGGAGTGAGTCATTGGAGGGAGATAAACCCGTTCGACGTACTGTGAGAGAACTGCCCACACCGTTGACATCCAGTGTAACACGTACCAGTTGTTCAACGACCACATTATACTCCTTCCTAGATTTTGACTGTTCAGACTCGATGTCGAGTCCTTGTACCACCTTCTCGCATTATTGCGCGTGATTTTATTTTTCAAATTCCCCTCTATGTTGGCGCTTGTTCCGCCGATCGTGGGAATTTGAAAACAGGAAACCATCCGAAAAAAGTGGAAAGGCCGGGTCCCCGCTCCTCATTATTTTTCCAAACGAAACGCAAAACATTATTTCAATGGATACAGAACGCAGAGACAACGTCGCCAAAGTTGTTTGATGGGCCAAAGCGACCCCCGACACAGCAGGTATTCCGGCAGACCAGCCTCCATGTTCCTGTTGTTTTCGAACAAACACCAATACTGGAAAACGGACGCACCATGCTGCAGAAGGACGGAAGATCTCCCCCAAGGGTGCTCACTACGATTGAAAAAGCGGTGTCGTTCCACTGCGTAAACGGAGTGTTCCCCTTAAAGATTCTGTTCGATTTCTAAGTGTTACTTCCACCATTCTTTCGTCTTTGTTTTCGTAGCGCCGTGGGGTGGGGGATCGTGCACCATCTCGAAGTGATTCTGGGCAGAATGGCAAGCGAGAAGCCCAGATTTGGTGATAGCCTCTGTCTCTTCCGCTTCTGCATCGGCTAAGATTTTTTTGTCCTCTTAAACTCCACGTTTTGATCAATGCATCATGTATCCCCGTAGCCGTTGAGCACGGTAACAAAACCCATACCTGCTCCAACTCCCTAGAGACATCGCCTGATGCCCAACAATACTGACACAAGGACTCCGTTCTTCCCTACAACTCTGTTGCCTACCAAGTTTCGTATCAAATGCGGTTCGCCCGACGATATGTTCATTACTATTCCTAAGTATTAAATCGGTATCTACATGCGTCCAAGCCACCAAAGAATCATAAGCGAACTATTACAATAGCGCTTTTGACATGATATCAGGCGAGCCGAAGAAATCTCTCTAGCTCACTCATCTACAACACCCGCCACAACCATACAAATGGCGGACGCCTGTGAGTAGTGGGGGCGCCATTCACCTCAACCGAACCTCGACAATCCTCAAGGGTAGGGAGGGGGATGTGCTGCTAAACAACACCAAGCACGGTGAGTTGCGCGGGAAAAAAAGAGAAAAAACGCTGCACAAGAAGACCCCAAGCAAGACGCCCACGGCTCAATCCTCCCTACTATGTATAGAGAAGAGCATAATAGAACTAAATTGTAGAAACTACCCCATTCGTCTTCGCGCCCTCTGCTTCGTCCTCTACTGCGGCGACATCGTCGTTGGCCCATCTGGAGGCTATGTAAGCGTCCATGAAGAGCTGCGACATGTGCCCGACGATGCATGGTATCGTCATGAGCCCCTCTTGCCCCACATTTCCAAGAAAGCCGATGACGGTAACCGACACCGGCAGCGTCTTCTGCGAGCTCATGAGCACCACGGCCTTGAATTCTCGCCGCTTGAGCTTGAGGATGTACTTGCAGATCGGGTAGTTGATGCTCAGGTAGCTGATTGGGAATGGGACGTGTGGGCGGGCGGGGGAAACGAGAGAAGTGAGAGAGCACGCCAAACGGAAAACAAACCTAATGTTTGTAAAATAAGGGGGAAATGTGTACCGTACGTGCACCATTGATTGGCCTTGCCCAACTCGAGAAAATTCCACTATTTACTGTATGAGTCAATATCTTCGCCAATCCACCCACCAAGCACGTTTCGCTCTCGAACTTGTCCACCCAAACACTCACACTAAATGCAGACCGATGCCCGAGGCAATCACAGACAAGATCTGCGTGAACGCCACCGACGTCAAATTGTCTTGCGCCCTGCTCAAGGTTTGCCACACCACCATGATGAGCATCGCGCTGCTCGTCAGGCTCAGCCGCACCTTGAACCGCTTCACCCGCGCCTTCGCCCCCGGTACTGCCTCTCTTATCACCTTTCCCACCACCAGCGGAACCAGAACACTAATGATCTGGATCACAAAAACACAGGCAACGGCGGGAAAGGAAACAGGCAAGAGATTCAGACAAGACAAGGCGAGACGCCGAAAAGGAATGACAAACGGAAAGGGTGGATGTGTTTGTTTTTTTTTCGGGTTCCAATCCAGTACCAGTATGATAAGGGTCCTAGGCCCCGATTCTCTGTCTCTCAGTTAAACCTATCCACAGCCAAAGAGGGACCAACGTGGGGATGGTATGCCGACAAAGGGTAGCGCTAAACAAGAAAGCGCTGTGGGTCTTTTTTGCACCCCAAAAGTATCCCACTGACGAGAGCGGCATAGCGAAGCGGTTTCTCACATCCGGTTCTTGAACAGGTACTCCATTGCTGCGCTATTCGTCCAGTTGCCAGTGCAACAGCACGTTTTTTTTCAACACGACACACACTTGTCCGAACTCACCAGCTTGACGAGAAGGCCCACCGGGTCAATGGACGCATCTTCTCCGGCGTTGACCACACCCTTGACGTAAAACGGAACCGTCACAACTCCGAGCAAGTTGGTTGTTACGGTGAGGAGGAGCGCCAGGGCATCGTTTCCCCCAGCCTGTGGCGATAAGGTGAGGGGGGGGGCGCACGACGTGAAAAAAGCAACGAAGCACCGGGAAACGCCGTTGAGGCTGAATCGCTCAGAACTTCGTAGCAAGTGATGCTGCGGCGCGGCCCGGACGACGTTCACTACCACGTTCATTTTTTTTCATTTATTTATCTATTGTTTCCCGCAACCACGGGGATGCAGCACATTCGGTGGCACCTGGAATCTAAGAACTACACTCAGTATCTAACTCGTCTACAGAGTGCGTTAGTCCAGGACTACTGCTGCAGTCTACTACCGGTAGATGAGGACATGACAACATACAAGAACACAAGGGACAAATTTCCCATACCCTGTGTCACCCACCACTACTGTAGACTACTACTCTAACTCACATTCATGACCAGGGTCACCCCAGAGGAGAGCGTCGTGGGCACCACGCAGAACACCGACAACCCGTAGGAGAACTCATCCACGTCGAAGGGAATCTCCGCAGCAACGAACCCCACGGCGCCCGTGATCCCCAAGATGGCCACGACCCCGTAGATGTAACCCCATCTCCCCTCCTTGCTCAGGGCTTCCTTGATATCGTCGGTCTTTAGTGTCAGGCCGGAGATGATGAAGATCACAATGACGTTGATGGTTTGCACGAGGCGATAGTCGCCAACCTTCGGCTTCGCCACCGCCTTCCCGGGCGCCGGCCAAGCGAGGGCGATCACCAGGACAACGAAGAAGCCCAGCGGAAGGACGTTTTTTATGCAGAACTTCTGCACTCGCTGCCCCCGTGACTCCACCAGCGTTGTCATGATGCGATGGGCAGGATATTCCTGCGTCGGTTCTGCTTGTTTGGTTGGTCTCTCGAGGTTGTATCTTCGCTGCTGGCTCTCTTGTCGCGAGGGAAGTCTTGAAAATTACCTCCAAACTTGTCTTCCTTGGGCCAACTGCCTGCGTCCTCGGGGGTGATGTTGTGATGCGGGCCTGCTAAGCGTTTTCCGAACACAAGCTCCAATTCCAGGAGAACCTTGCCACGCCCTGCTTCACCCAACCACACCGCAGTGCGCACTAGACGGGCAGCAGCACCAGCCCCGAGAGGTTGGAATGACGTGTGCCGCGTCACACGTTTCCGGTAACCCTTGTTCAAACACCGTCACCGTCAGAGGCTAAATTGCACCCTCAACGCCGTTCACAACCGGCGGAATCACAGAGAATGCTTTGGATTCCCTGGGGCACACACCTGGTGCGTGTTGCTTTGTGTGTGCTGTAGCGACCGTCGTGCGTGGATGCGTTTTCAGCGTCATCGGGTCAACCTTTTTTTTTTTCGAACCAAACCAAAATGCCAACTTTGTTGGACAACCTCTTTTCGACAACACCCGGGCTGCTGGGCTGCTTCTGGGAGCTGGAGGGCAGCAGCGTAGCAGCGCGCTGGCTGTGCCACAACGTCGCAACTGCATGCTCGGCTGCCGCCGGGCTTACACATAGAGACGAACCTGTCTTGGATCAGGTGCTGGCACTATTTGACGGGATAGCGTTGGTGTTGTCGCGTCGGTGTTGGAGGGCAATAAGGCGCCCTCGTTGCTTGTCGCTTGCCGGCAGGCACGCGGGTTTTGAAATAGCGAAATAGCCTCTTGCCGCCGTCAGCAAGGAGAACGTACATAGTCCAGCGGAGAGGCGATATCTGCAACAACCAACGTCGGAGGGCGGGATAGAAACGAATCGCACAATGGCACAGCCTCTAGACGCGGCCAGGCTGGCCCACGATCTATCAAAGCGCATGATGAACCACCATGGCGCAACAGCAGCAGCAGTCCCCGGCAAGGCGCCGCTGAAGCTCCTCCAGTGGGCGCTTTCCCAGCTAGAGGAGTGCGCGCGAACGCGCTCCGTTCCCGCTTCGAACGTGGTGGAAGTTGCGATGGCGGCTATCAAGGACGAGATGGGCGTGCCGGCGGGAGAGCAACAACCTCCTGCTGCGGGTGTTGCGGCGCATCCCGCTTCTGCGCCTCGTACCAGCGGCAGTGCTGTTGACGGGAGTTCATCAAAGGGGGGGACCAGGGAAAAGAAAGCCGGAGGGAAGAGCGGTGGCGGGCGATCGAAGGGAAAGGTGGTGTTTACGCCGTTGTACGGCTGCGACGAAGGGGCGACTGGGGTGGAGCCTGTGAGCTCGATATTGGAGGTGAGTTGCAAGGGCATCGTACATCGAAGAAGACAGCAGGAGTGCTTTGGGCTGTTAGAGTACCGCTGTAGAGTACACGAGCAATCTTTGACACAGGGTCGCTTCGCACACGTCAACAAGTATTGAAACTGCTGCTGTATGTAAGCTCCATGTGTGCCGTGAAGTTAATTTGGTTTCATCGTCCCAAGTTGTTAGGTTTTCATCCGCACAACTCCGCCAGTGTGTCCTCCCACGGTCACAGGCAGTCACTACACTTGTATCTCGCCGTGCGCCGCCCTAACGAACCGGCCCGAAAGCTCTTTGCTGTTCTGCACACCTCGTCGCCATCCCCCCTGGCCCCGACTCAACCCGCCGACTCGATCAAATGATGTATGCATACATTAGGTGGGTGGTGTGACGATCCTGCTGGACTGCGGGTGGGACATCCACTTCGACACCGCGCTGCTGGAGCCCCTCCGCGAGGTGGTGAAGCGGATAGATCTCGTGCTCATCTCCCACCCCGACCTCGAGCACTTGGGGGTGAGCAAGCGTGCGAGAAGCTGCGACTGCGCGCCGCGTCGTAGCTCTTCGTTCGTGAACGCGCCGCTCTTAAGTCAGTTGATGCTGAACGTGTAGAGCCTCCGCTGCTGCTGCTGCACACCGTACCCCGATACCGGTTATCTACACACGCGTCAAGCGCTGTTTACAGTACAGCTGCATTCCCTTCGCCGTGGTCGAAACGAAGTTGCGCTCTGATGTCGGACATAATATTGGCTCCGTGATTACATGCGTTACAAGCTTTCCTTTTCGTTTTCTTGCTTTGTCCCCGACGTGAGCGTCATGCCCCCCAACTGAATGGACATGCCGAGAGAAAAGGAGCCGTTATGAAACCTCATGCGACGACGAATGTGGCCCACACAGTACGGCAACTACAGGCATTCTTGTACCATGCATATAGGATCATGCATTTTTCTTCCTGACGCCGGTGCTCTCTCCCTGCTGACGAACGCTCGCGTGCATTCAACAGGGCCTGCCGTACGCGTTCGGCAAGCTTGGCATGCGCGCGAAGGTGTACGCCACCCTGCCGGTGTGGAAGATGGGGCAGATGGCCGTCTACGACGCCTACATCTCCCGCACGCACGAGGGGAACTTTCAGGCGTTTGACCTGGACGACGTCGACGCCGCGTTCGCTCGGTTCAAGACGCTCAAGTTCTCGCAGCACTTGACCTTCTCGGTGAGCGTCGTTGATGTTGTAAGACTACGCAGGGCCAAACGTTCGGTGCACGCCATCAGTGCAGCAGAACTTGGGTTGGGAACTATTATCAAGCAGCGTTGGGGACTATCATTAGGCAACAGGACAGGGAGGCACCAAAGTTGCCCCATAAGAAAGCCTCTGTCACATGCAGCCACAGCAACGGAACGTGCCTGCGTGAGCTCTGAATCGCGGCAGTCGTTATTTCCACGAACGTGGTGTCGTTTCGTATGCAGCTATATTTGAAATCGCGAAAAAATAGAAAAGCAGCAGGTTCAATTTAAAAAAATTATTCAAACGTGACACCTGTACATGTCACATTCTGTAGCGACGTGCGGGAATAAGAGGTGCTTGCTTTGATGCTGCCCAATGCACTGCTTGCTTGGCGTTGTCGCAGGGTCGAGGTGCGGGGGTGACCATCACCCCTTACGCGGCGGGGCGTATGATCGGGGCTGCCGTGTGGCGCGTGTCCTGGCAGACGGAGGACAACGACATTGTCTACGCCACGGCGTACAACAACGACCACGAGAGGTATTTCCACCGCTTGCTTACAAAACCTGCTGCAGACGTACCCCTTGATCGAAAGCCCCATGAGAATTGCGTGGGCAGAGTTCAGTACAGTTGAAAGATACCGGTGCTGCAACTACCACAGGAAACAATCGAATAACATGGCATGCCTATGCACAAGACAGCTTCAGCCATACCAATGCATGAGACAGCGTTAGCCATACCTATGCATACGATAGCGATCTAGCATCATGCTCTGTTCCAAGTCCAGCAGCCGTGACACGAAAAATCGATCAAACGGAGTCAACTGCTACTGTGTTTGATTTCCTTGTCCCGAAAAAGATGTTGCAACCCCTACCGCTCCCTGGCCTTCAGCAGTAGTGACAGCATCTAGACGTTCCCTTCCCCTCAATACAGCCTTTCACGCTCGCGTGCACGTGTTGTCCTCCCACCTTCTGGGTTGGCGCTGCTTGGGGGAAGGCATGAGGCGGCCAGCGCCACTGGACCGTGGAAACATGTGTCCCGGTAGTAGCGGTTTACCACAGCATAGTTCCGTATCCAACTTTGACCTCTGTCGCCCCCCCCCCCCCTCCCCGTTGTTGTCGTGTTCTTGCCACATCATGGTGTGTCAGACATCTCCGGGCGTCGGCTTTGGGCACCCTGACCCGCCCAAGCGTGCTCATCACCGACGCTCACAACGCCCTGACGGGCGGCGGCATGATCCGCAAGGACCCGAGCAGCAAACGCAAGTTGCGGGAGGTGGAGCTAATCTCGACGGTGATGGACACCGTTCGGGGCGGGGGCAACGTTCTCCTGCCCACTGACACAGCGGGTAAGCAGCACGCGTCAGCAGTAGTAAGTGGTACGGTGGTATTCTGCGTATTTGGTGAGCGAGGCAAAGCAGTGGTTGTAGTGCGACGGTACACCCCGTATGCCAGATCAATACACAAGAGGTTTCATGTGTCTAAAGCACTGCTGTCGCTGGGATTAACTCCCCCGACTTCAGATGTTCCGGAGTGCGGAGACGTGTTTGCCTAGGTATACCCACGGATGTATTCTGGTCGCGGTCCTTCCACAATGAATCCAATTCCAAGCTGACTCGTTGGTGTATTTTTGAGGCTGTTCACTTTTGACCCCATCTACTGGTATGTATTTGCGTGAAATTTCTCTGGAAGTCGCAGCACCCACCGCTTGGGTAGCGCTGAGGCACCCTCTCGTCAGGTTAAAGCGGGTTGTTTGCTCATGGTACCCTTGGTTTCGCATCATGCGGAGATCACGGTTCTCTTGCTGGAGGCTACGTCTGTCGCCCCCCCCCCCCCCCCCTCTCTCTCTCTTTGTATGTATTTTGCACGTGGTAGTGGTAAGAACGTTGGCTACGAATGCGCGATGCCCGGCCCGGTTAAGGAGAGCATGCCCGCCTTGGCATGAGAATGCAAACACATGTGTTCATGCGTGCGTGTGCGTGTATGCGGTTTTTGTTGATGGATTTTTCTTTTGTTGAAGGGCGCGTACTGGAGCTGCTGGTGTTGCTGAACGACTACTGGCAGAAGCACCGCCTCGGGAGTTACAAGCTCGTGCTCCTGCACAACACGGCGTTCAACACCTGCGAGTTCGCCAAGAGCCAGGCGAGTAAACCAGCATACAAGGAAGCCACGGGCGTGTGTACGCGCGCAAGTCGTCCTTTTTTGCTTTGTATTCTCCGTATTATTTTTTATTTTTTTGGGGCGCACTACACGTTGCAGATTCCTAGGGTCAAAGCGGGGGGATCTCTTGCGCAATGTTTGTGTGCTTTCCTCCAACATTCAGATCATAAGGAAGAGGAGAACGAGGAGCACGCAACGCAAGAGGTTGTGAAACAACCCCACGCTTATTTACACCGGCCGTGAATTGTGCACGAGAGCTCCGTGCTTCGTCGTTCCTTTCAAAAAACGGGATTTCCGTCTAGTGTTTTTCGTCAACGCCTTGGAAGAACTCAGCAGCAGTCGAAAGTTAACAAGGTCATAATTTCCTTGCAAAGTTTTTGATTTGCTCGAAACGTCATTGGTCGCCACTGTTTTTGTTGTATGAAACAGCAGGCCGTAGAGGAGTCGTTTTCCCTTCCGCGAGCCCGAGATCACACGTTTCTTCGCCAAACATCTGTCTTCCAGGCGAACCGTTCCATCTCACCTCTGCTATGGCCACGGCATGTTTGCTGCGGCCTATCCGTGACGCTGGTGGCTACAGTATCTGTGACACAGTGATTGGTGACCTCTTTCCAAGGGTTAGGCGCTTCGACCGACGTCCCGTCCGTCGATGACTGCGTTCCTCTTGTTGGTTTCTGCCCTGTGTTTCTTTTCCGTTTCTTGGTGGGGGCGTATTTTGCTTGTTTGGATCGGCGGGGGTTTTGCATTTGCATCGTGTTTGATTTTCCTGTGTCTTCTTGTTGGCGGTCCTTCGCACTCGCTACCGGACCATTGTTGTTAACTCATCTGGTTTGACCCCTTGTTTTGGTCCCGTCTTTCGCTCTTCTTCCATCGCTCGCGACTCTCTTGATATATGAACAGCTGGAGTGGATGAGCGAAGACATTGGCAGGGCGTTCGACCTACAGCGGAGCAACCCCTTCGAGCTTAGAAACGTTCACATCATGCACAGCTTGGAGGAACTCGACGAGCTTGGGGACGACCCTAAGGTGTTGCAGACAGCTACAATAGTGCACGTACAAATAATGTGGCATATGATACCGAACGGGGAAAATGTCGTTAGACGCTTTTGATGTCTATCCGCCTGTAAAAGCTGCACTATGTGCATGCCGATGCAAAACGCGCACCATGCACGCAAAGTTTCAAAAGACGGGCTCCTGTCGGTGCCGCAAAACAAGTACACAGCCCCTTAAATGGAACGCGCATTTTGTCGCGACGCCAAGAGCGTCTCTTTTTCTCTCTATCTCTCTCACCCTTTCTCTCTGTGTTTTGACTTGGTGTTCCTTGCTGCTGAAGAATCTGAACACTGTCGAGAGCTTGTTTTGTTTTTTTCGTGCGTGTTTCTCAATGTTTTTTTCGTGTTGTTTCGTGTCTGCATTCCTCTTCGCGTGAGGTGCATTCCTCCTCGCATGAGGTTTCTCCCTCTCGTCCGTCTCAAACGAGCCACAGAACACGCCAACACACAAACACAAGCCCCCTCACGGGGTCCATAATCGTGGCCCTTAGAATTATTTCCACCGCACTGAGACTGTTTCTTTTCGTTGGTCATCCGGTTAGCGCAGTCGATGCCAATGCTAAAAACACCAACACACCAACACACCAACACACCACAGGTGGTGATGGCGACGGACATGTCCCTGGACTTCGGCTTCTCGAAGGCCCTCCTGCTCCGGTGGGCCTCCGGCGGCGCCAACACCATCCTCTTGACGGGAAGGGGCCACGGCAACACCACCGCTCGCACGCTCATCGCCAAGAGTGAGTACCGGAAGAGCGAGGCGGGCAGGAGAGCTGCCGCTAAGGACGCGGCGGCGGCAGCCGGGAGAGGGGCGAGGGTGGGGTACAGCGGCGCGGTCGGGGCTGGGTTTGGGGCGGGCGGTGGCGGTAGCGGCGGAAACGGGCAGGGGGACGACGGGGAAGAGGAGGAGGAAGAGGAGGAGGACGAGGAGGCATCCATGGTGGTGCCGGTCACGGTGAGCGAACGGGCGGTCAACACGTGGCAGGAGGGAGGATGCCGGTGGAGATGGTAGTTGGGTTGCCGGAAGACCGTGCTCATGGCGCGTGTTCGTACATGCTGCTGGTCAAGTTCTGCATGATGCTCTGCCACGCAGTTGGTTGTTCGCGCGAAGCTAGTTGGACCGCAGCGTTTGGTGTGCGATGATTCAGATATGTATGTATGAGTCGTCCGGTACAAAGGTAGTTTGTTGTTCTTCTTTTCGCGGATTTTGACTCTCAGACACCGTCTTGTTGTCAAAAACGCGCGTCAACGATGGACCTGTTCGTCCACGAATGTGATTGGGCAACATGTTCAGGCGACAGTCTCGTCCACAGCTGAGGGTTGTCGTTGGAAGCAGTACACTTCTAAGGCGGGCTATGACCGTCTACGCTAGATAGCACCCCCCCCCCCATTCGTTGATATGGCTGTCCTTGTTCGAGGAACCGGCATACTACAACCGCAAGCTTTGCATTGGCACCCCCTCGATTATGGAGTTGTACATCACCTAACTTCCGGAAATATTGTGTTCCAGAACCTCTCCGCAGTGTTTGCATCCGTGTCTCACTCTCGTAATTCGGGCGGACAAGACTGCCGACTGCCGTATTTTTTTCCACATGAAGGAGTTTTTCTTTTATGGGTCTCCCCCCACTGGTGCAGATGTTTGTTTTTGCTGGATTGTATTGCGATTCACGATTTCGGAAGGAAAGGGGTGCCGGTTCTGTGTTCCGCTTGACAACGAGAGTTAGACATCTTTTCGTAGATATGTTGCTGTTTTTTGTCGCGCTCCTGGTAGCCAAATTCCCCCCCCACAACCACCTGTTGGTGATTCCCCTGTGCCGGGTCGTGAAAAGGTGCCGGTTCGGGTGCCGCTTGCCGGCGAGGAGCTCAAGGCTTTTCGGGACGAGGAGAACAGAAAGCGAAGGCTAGAGCAGGAGGAGGAAGAGCAGAGACGACACGCTGCTGCCATGGAGAAAGAGCAGGTGGAGGACGACCGCAGCCAGCCGTTCGTGGCACTAGTATCACGGAGGAGGGTGCAGCTACATGCTGGCTCTGCCCGCTTGCTAGCTTCAGCTCTAAGCTGAGCGATCAAAGAATGTTGCAGTCTCCGAACGTTGTTGCGGGATGTTGTGTCCCTCTTATTATGCTCTCGGCTTTGCTATCCATTTTTTAGCAGTTGGTCAGCAACGCCCTCCGCCGTATACCTCTAGGTTTTCACACAAGAGCAGCAGTTGGCCTCGTGCTCGACCTGTGCTGTACGTTCCCCGCCATCGTCTGTGCGCACTAATCGCGTTGTGTGTCCCTGTGCTGTTTGTTCGTCAATTTTTTTTAATGCGTCCACAATTTTGTGAAGGTTATCGCGGACTCCGACGAAGGCTCCGATAAGGATGACGACGAGACAGACCCAGCACCGAAGCGAAGGAGGGCGATTGTGGCCAGCCTCTTCAGCAAGTACTCCAAGCCACAGCACCTCATGTTTGGGTAAGCACTGCGCAAACCCTAAGAGAGGCAGGGAGACAGATTCAGACAGGAGGAGAATATGCGTGAGGCGCCACAGGCGCCGCCGTTGCTTCGATCCATGATTCGAGAACAGCGCTGTATGCAGCACACGCCATGTCGGGTTGGTTTGAGTTGGGGGGAACTAGAGACAGAGAGAAGAGTCGCCAAAAGAACGCGTGCCTTCACAGCCGCAGCAGCACCTCGTGTGGGGTGTTGATTGGGGCAGGAGAGCGAGCGGGCAACAACGGAGATGCGCGCGTACCTTGTTTGACCACTGCAGTACCTTGTGCCAGTCAAACGTCATGCACGGTGTCACCATAGAGAGGAAAGGAAGGCACAAACAAGTAGAGACGACATCGGTCAAGGTGGCGGTTTGTCGTGCGTACGGTACATACTAGTTGTTTCCCGTTTGTTCTGGGCTGCGTCTCTCTCTGTCTCTGTCTTGCAATGCCACAGGCACGATGCTCGTGTCAATAGGCACGGGTTTCTGCTTCGCTTCCAAACTTGGGCTCTGTTTCTCGATGTTGGTCTCCCGGTTTTCCCTGAAATATCGGGTACTTGGCTGCATTGCCTCCCTACCTCCCTCCCTCCTACGATGTGTCCACTACGACACCCGTTGCACCTAAGACCATAACCGCACTCACGACTGCTCACTACCACCGCATCTCCCAGGTACTACGACCCTCACGTTCCGACGGACGAGTACGGGGTGAAGGAGACCGAGCCGATAGGATGGCTGGCCGCTGCGATGCAGCAGCAAAACTCGGAGATGCCGGCGGCAATGCAAGAGGCGGTGAGGCAGACCTCTCGGGACTGTTGGAAACGTCGCAGCAGGAGCCACGTGCACACGAATGAATTGGTGTTTTGCTTCTGTATTTGGTGGTGACAATCGACGATTTCCTGGGCTGGGGGCGGGGGCGAGTACACCAGTATCCTGAAACTCAGAACAATCAGGCTGGGTTAGAAATTTATGATTGGTTTTGTACGTTATCGGAAACAGGTCATTTTGCAGAGACAGAGAAAGGAGACACAACCACTAGTAGTCTGGTGTGCGTTGACTCTTTTGACTCCTTCAATATTTATGAAGATGGGCCTTTTTTTGACCCCACCATGTGTTGATCGATCACCCTTGTACGGAGCCTATTTTGTCGACATCTATCCAACTCCGACTGAACCCCCCCCCCCCCCCCCCCCCCC